ATCAAACTGATCAATACAGACATGGACATGCATATGCATTTCTTTTGTGCATCGTGATTACTGATTACTTATATGGTTAATCCGTTCAACAATAACGACCTTCTTAGGCGTCTTTAAATATCAAGAGCGAAAAACAAATTAATTGTTTGTTATTATTTATTATTATTCAATTAATCCTTGTTCATTTTTTCTCGATACCGGACATTCTACATTGTTAATGAGTAATCTTTAGTTTTGTTAGAAGGTGTGAATAATTTCAATTGTAAATTTTTTTTGTTTACAAAAAATTTAAGTAAAAATATCAAATTTTTATAGCAATAAAAATTATTTATAAAAATTTTAAAGCAATGTTTTGAGTAAAAAAATTTAATTGTCAATTCAGTAAATTTTTTCGTGTTTTATTTTTCAGACAAAATTAAAATTTTTTCAAAGTGTACAGTTTTTTATCAATACAACTAGGGTAAAAGACCCCATTAGTGGCAGGGACCCCATTACTGACACTTTCTTTGATTTTGGCACTTATTCAATTAATGAAATTATTAATTTCAATAATGAATATATTATTTCTAATCTTTAAGACTTTTAGATAAAAAAAATTTTAATTTTTATTCCAAGTAAAACGTTTTTTCATTGAAAGAAAAAGTGCCACTAATGGGGACCTTATTGATACTTTTTTAGAGTAAGGCAAATTTTGACTGTACATTTAAATTTTTCTATAAAATGACCCGAGAATTTTTTCATTTATCGTCCAACGCTTTTTGAGTTCGACTCTTCAAATAGTGACGTATTTTCATGAATAATTAAGCCCGTTAGTATTTTAAAACCTCGCGAATAATTTACAATGTAGATTTTATTTCAAATCGAATCGCGTGTAAAGAAGCTCTCGATGAAACTAGAACGTAAAAAAGTGACATTGCCGTTATTTAAATTAAAACTCACTAGGTGATTGAGAATATTGAGCGGTAGTTAATCCGAGAATATAACTTTTTTTTTAATTGCGGAAACAATGTTGAACAGCATTTATTATTCAATACTGATATAATAAATATGATAATTTCATTCTGCTAATTGTACCATGGCTATATTTATATTTACATTTTCTTGCGTGTCAGATTATATTTTCATTGCTCCAATGACTTTTAAAATTTTATCCTACTGACGATAAATCATAAGTTCTTTAAGTTTTAATTCATTTTAAAAACCCGTATCACTCAAAAAAATAAGCCGTAGATAAACGGATTTGGTTGCAACATTTTGAGCAATAAGTTGTTATGTACTGTAAATAATTAATGTTGATTAAATAAATAAATAAATCAGATAATTCTAATGTAAGTTGTAGGAATTAGAATATTTACTTTATCCGTCTTTATTGAGGAAATAAATCAATTGTTCGTACACTTCGACACTTCGGATTAAAAAACTGGTTTTATCTTGGTATAAACTGACCAGAAAAATTCAGTAAAATTTGTTATAATTGTGAGTTTACAAAACTGAGTCAAATTTTTTTTTATTTTATTATTACATTTAATTACAATCCATTATAATATCTATTACAATCTATTGTATTATAACAAGAAATAATTTTTATGAGTATAGTGTGACAGATAGTTGAAATTTTGAAAATTATAGCAAAATTTCTGGTACGAAGAAACATTCTTGAACTAATTTTTATGAAAAAAATATAAATATCAAAGCTTATCATTTTTTTGCAGATTTAATCGGGTCATATATTTTTTTTACTCAAATAAAGGAGGTAAAAAATTAATCATTTATTTAATAAAAATTTTAATTCAATCTTCTGTTTATATATTTAAAAATATTCCAATGTTTTGTTGATTAACTCAATGTAACAATTGACCTAAAGACAAAATGTAACCACATTATCGTAATTACTTATTGATCATCATAATTTTTGATAAAATAAAAAGGTACACACAATATATTATTTAATTTTTGTATCAATTACTATTAATGCATTTCTTTAATGGACATTTTGTCTTGAGATCAATTTTAGTGATATCGTTGATTAAATTATGTTTTTTTATTTATATTAATTAATAATGATAATAGATGAAAACTTAATCAATAAAATCATTTTATGAAAATAAAAAATTGTATTTAAAAATAAATTTTTTTCAGAACTGTAATGTATTGTATATCTTATTTGATTTAGCAACTAATAATTTAAACTAATTATTAATTCACCTGCAGCTAAAAAAACATATTGCGGTAATAAAACGATTAAACACTGTTTTATTTCCGAATGGTAATTTCCAATGGAATGTTACCGAAGATAAGATTAAATTTATAACTATAAAGACCGAAGAAATAAACTAACGCAACAATTTTAGGCTGAGGAATCTCGTCTCAAATTTACGAGCCAACTTTCGGTTGTGTTATAACACTAAATAGCTGTTTGCTCAAACATAAGCACTCAGCTCTTTGTTTCATAATCCTTCTGGTAAAATTAATTAATATAAATCCTAAGCAAAGAAAATTTATTTATTTTCCAATAAAAAAATATTTATATTTACATTTTTTTAATTCATCACTGCGAAGTGAGCTTCGATTCGCTACATCGATTTCACAGACACAGATGACTAAGAAAGTATCTATATTTAATCTAAGTTTTTTGTGGTTTCCAACTTCAATGTTAATTGTTGCTGCGAATAATGAAATTTGCACGTGCTGCAGTTACAAGACCTTGATACTTATTTAATACATTGAAAAGAATCTAAACTTTTGAGTTAACGCTAATTAAATCGTCATAGCAGCTCAAATTATTAATTTATAATTTTAAATATTTTTTTGCAATAATTTTGTTTATTTTTGATATATGTATTTAAAGTTTAAATTTTAAAGTGGAAAGAATTACTACATTTTTTTTTATTGTACTTTAATAAAGTTACTTAACGAATTATTCGCGTTATATTTTTTATCTATAAAGATGTATTACAGTAAAGAAAAAAGCTTTTAAAAACGAACCGGTTTAAAAACTGGTTTCTAGAGAATTCGGAAGTTCAAAATAAATAATTTCATTACCAAACTTAATCTCAACATCGTGCATTTGTTTGTACTCAAACAACTAATAATAATAAAAAAATTAAAAATATTCTCATCTTCTGTAAATAAATAAATCACTAAGTAAATCAAACACACTCTGTAAAACTTATAAATATAAAAACAACCTTGATAATGATCTCAGTAATTCTTACTTAATACATTCAACTCTATGCTACATAATTATTAAGTACATATATGAAAATGCCTTCCTACTTACAATAAAAAAGGTCACATTTATCAACTAACCATACTTATTAATTTATATTTCAGATGTTGTGTTCAGTAGTCTGATTTAAATTTGAAGAATCGCTGACAAATTGACCTTTTGAATTTTTTATTATAACAAATGATGAAAAAATAACATAAATTAAAAATAACTAATCAGCGGTTAGATTAATGTGTTTTTTTAATATACTTCTAGCTAGTAAATTAATCAGCTTAAAATAGTTTCACGATATAAAGATTAATCGTTATCATATCGTCCCGGAATCCTTGGGCATAATAAGCGCTTAATATTGACAATTAAACGATAGTTATGTGTTGGGTGTTAAATATTTATTTAACTCGCGGATGTAAGTAAATCGACTCTTTTTGTCTCGCTATTATTACATTTTTATTTTTATTGTTGTCATTATTATTATTTTTACCGAGAAGCCGACGTCACTGGAAATGTCTAGCTTGCTGAATGCAAGTGGAGCTGCATATATTGACAGGTATAGCAAGTTAAGGGGAAGTCCGTTTGACGACAAGTTTTACTTCGCCGGTACTTTTCTGGTTTTACTTTGATACTGGTGCAAATAAAAATGCATGTGCGATTCTCGAGTCATATATATTATAATAAAAGAGAAGAAATACCTTGGGAAATTTTGAGTCCATTGACGTCACCGCAAGTGAGACCAATGAAACGTGTTTAATAATTAACTTGGGGAATCTTGTCGCTACGCTAAGTGGGGGTTTATCTTGAATGTATAAAAGTCATAAGAGGCCCTATTGTCAAGAATAGTTATAGTTACACTTTACTTTAGATTGTAGTGCGGTTTAGTTCTAATATGTACATTTAATTATTTTATAGTTAATAGTTAATATTATTATTATTATTATTAGTATTTTTTTTCTACTATTATGAAATTTGTACTAAATATAATAGCTTGTATTTAGTCTTCAAGGTATAAAATATGGGCTAGTGTAGTGATAACATTATTGTTAATGTTCGAGATGATTATTAAGTGGGAGTATGACCAAAGTCAAGCATCATTTAGCTTTCGGTACTCTTAGATCTTTATTGTACGTGGTATTGGTCGGGTCAGTTAAGACATAAGACGTAATAAGTGCTTCAATATTATTATTCAAGAAATTTTTTTTTGACGTGTAAATTTAAGTGTTATGATTTTTGATTTGTGGTTACTGTTTTTTATCATTGTAAACTAATAATTTTATTTATTTTTGACTTAAAAAGAAGAAAACTTATGACTGCTCTATTTTTATCTGAAGGATTTATTTAAATGATATTGTAAATAATAAATAAACAGTGAATATACTATTAATTAATTATTATTCCGCTTCATTGACGTTGTTGTATATCTTCATATGTGAGTTATAGTTTGCTTTAGTTATCTATTTTGTACAAAGGACTCCGGATTTAATTAATTGCTAATTAGAATAATTGGTTTGTTTGAATTCATACGGAGAAATTTACTTGATTCGTTATGAGATATGGTTATTTTCGACAGTTTTATTTTTACTAAATTTGATGATTAGAATTTTTCTTTTAATGAACAGTGTTAAAACAAAATAAATAATATTTTTATCTTGAATTTTTAATGATAAAATAAATTAAAGAAGCTATTTACATTGATTGTATAGATTAAAAAAAAAAAATTTATTTATTTGTGATGAATTGAACTAACTAAGTGTTTGTTTTGATCGCAGGTTAAAAAATGACGGTAGCAGTAGAAACTACCAAGGCTGAAGAAGGCGAAAACCGACCCAAAATAGAGACCTTTGATGACATACTGCCTTATGTCGGGGAAGCTGGTCGTTATCAGCTGATTTTGTTCATTATTTTGTTACCATTCACGTTTGTTTATGCATTTCTATACTTCACGCAATTTTTTTTGACGCTTGTTCCTAATGAGCACTGGTGCTTTGTTCCGGAACTCAATAACACAAATCTTAGTGATACGCAAAAGTTAGTAAATTATTTTTATTTATTTATTTATTGTAAAAAAATTAATTATATTTAAGTGATACAGAAATTTTTGCTTACACAGTAAAATATTTTTGGAATTGTGTTGGAAAAATTCTGTGCTAAATGTTTGACATTTTTGCATGATAGTTCAAGTTATTTAAGGGAAAATTAATACCCCAATACTATGCTCGTTCTATTCAGTCAAGAAACCTTATTGTCTTATCAATATAATTTGATGTGAGTCATAGAAATATAAAATTCTATTTTGAGAAGTTACTAATATAATGCAACCGTGTATTTTGATACTTTCGAAAGAAAAGAATAATAAAAAATTGGATATCAATATATATATATATATATAATAAAAAATTTTTATATTAAAATACGTGATTGCATTTATTTTATTAATTATTTTCTTTTCTAAATATTGATCATTTTATGCTAAATTATTTTTCTATCGAAATTTACAACTCCGATTTAGTTGATTGTTTTCTTTTTTTTTTATAATTTTTTTGAAAAAGGTATCTATGATATTTTTCAAATTTTTTCGATCAATTAATTACGAGACACAAATTTTAAAAAATTTTCATTAAATAGCCATATATGGGTCGAAACTAATTCAGCTTAAAATTTTTCTTTCAAATTGAGTATTTTTTCTAAATTTTCTGGAAATGTAAAAAAAATTATTTGTACCTCTTAATTGATCTTTTTTGAATGTTAAAATTTAAACGTCATTTTTTTGTATTGTTTTTCCTGTTGGATTTTTTTTTTAAATTTCCCAAAAATAATCGCTCTCAAAACATAATTTTTAAGCCTAGTACGGTAATGGAAAAATAATTATTAATGACCAACATCAACAATTTTTATAAATATAAATTAATTCTAATTGACGTATTTTAACTAATTCTAAGTGTCGCGTTTTCATAAAAACTTTATTTATAATTGATGTTCTATCAAGGATGTATTAATAATAAACATTGAATTAAATATTTATATTTAATAATCGCAAATTGTTAGTTGTAGTTATAAAAATTGAAAACATTTTTCTTAGTATAAATAAAACATAAGTATATACCGTTAGTTGTGTTATAGTTTCAGTACACTTCTAACTGTTAAAATAATCTAGATAAAAGTAATAATAATTAGCATAATAAAAACAACACACAAGAAAGGATAGCGGCTTCTGGTTAAATTCCGCGAAATAAAAGATCTGGTAATCTATTCAGCTGACCGTGATTCTTCAAAGGTAATTTCAAGAGTAAAAGAGCTCGAGGGTTTGACCTTGTGATCACTCTTTGAGTTAATAATATATTGTTAAAGATATTCATAAGACCAAGGTCTCTATTTAATAGGGAATATTTATAAAAGAAAAAAAAAAGGAATGGTGATTAAAAACCAGGTGATTATATCACACGAGTGAGAGTAAAAAATGTAATAAATTAGAGTTAATTGAACTTTGCTGTGAATTATAAGTTATTTGATTAATTATATTGGAATTTTGCTGATGTATTTGCTGTTTGTATTACTTGTGTAATAGATTATTGTCAAGGTGTTTACATAAATTAATAAATTAGCTATTGTTACATTACTGAGTATCTACTTTTTTATGAGTGCAAATGGCCATTAAGCTAGCTAATTGTTTTACTTTAAATTCACTTTCCGCAGTTGTTACAATGTTAAGTTCTGTAATTACATCTAAAGACTCTCGGTATGATTTCATTCTTACATAAATTAATTACTTACCTTTTATTTAACAATTTCCCAAGCCAATACCTATTCCGCGAATTTGAAAACTGATTCACTGATCACTCACGAAATGTTTTTCCTTTATATGAATATAAACAAAAAATACATTTTTTAGAAATATACTGTTTACTTAAAAATTCTAGATATACTGAAATTAATTGATCTTATAATTTTCAAATTAAAAAATTAGACGTCCACACAAATATACAACTCATAGAATTGTCAAAATTTAATATTTTAATAGCTTTTGTTTCAATCGCTTCGGAGAAGAAAAATTATTGTCTAAAAAAGGATTTCTCAGCTCAAGAATTTATTGGAACGAACCATCTAAATTTATTAATTTTTTGACAGAAAAATATCAAAATCTGCCTTCATAATGAAATATTTACCTTTATCAGAATAAGTCAACAAATGAATAATTATACTTAAATTGAGTAAAAATTACTTAGATCAATTTGAAGAATTCTTCAGACAAGAATGTACATTCTCAGTAATTACTAAAAATAGGGTAGAAGTACTGGTTTTGGCCATCTTACACAGTAAAATGCTTGCATCAGGTTCATATTTGGAGCTAGGCGGTTAGAGCACATAACACCTTACAGGAAGAGACTTGGATGGTTGACGCTCCGAAGTAGGCGTGAGTTTCTAATTTTGAGTCTGGTGTATAAAATGCTGAATATGCAGCATCACAAGTTGTTGCATTCGAACTTCAAAATATTGCTTGATGTCAGGGGCCGTGCTGAGCGTAGAAATCAAGTTCTGCATCAGCCTGCCTGTAGGACTGTTGCCTATGAAAATTCATTCTTGTTGACTGCAGTGAGGGAATGGAATCAGTTACCGAGTGATCGTGTGGCCGTGAATTCTTCAGCTGAGTTTCAGACGTTGTGTTACAAATTAATTTTTGATAAAGATATTTGAACTAGAGAGTCAATAATAATAATAATTGTTTATTTACTTATGTGATTAAAATGTTATTCAAAATTTTGTATTCAAACTACTTTTCAATTTTGTATTCAAATAACTTTCTAATTTTGTATTCAAAGTACTTACTCACTATGTAATACTATTAAATTTCTACTGCCTTTAAGGAACGTCAGTTCTAGGGCCGAATTTCTTCAACAAATAAATAAAAAAATTTTCGTCAAATTTAACACAAATTTTTTACTGTGTAGAACCATTTTTGGCCACTTGATATTTTAGTTAATTTGTAAAAAAATTTAACTATTCAAGTATAGAATTATCATAGAATTTATGAATTAATACGTTTATATGTTCTTGCGTAGAGAAAATTATTTTTTAATAGGAATATTTTTTTCTCTGTGTAAGAAGACATTTTCCGAAAACAAAAAAACTTTTCTGGCTTAGGAAAATTTGATTTTTACTAAAGAATTTGTCGCTTTTATAAATATAGTTCTTTCTGTGTATATTTACAAAAAAAATTAATGAAAAAATCTTTATGCAGAATTAGTCTATCGATTCCACCAGCGAGTGATGTTGCTGAAGTCCAAGCCGAGGGCACAACACACTTTGCAAGATGTTTCATGTACGCTGTAAACTATACAGAATTGTTAAACAACAACATAACAAAAGCAGATCCTTCATGGCCCACTAAACCATGTCAGCACGGCTGGAGCTTTAATTACACCGCTGTACCATATGCATCGATTGCTGCCGAGGTAATTATAATTAAAATTAAAATTAAATTTCCATCCGCTGTCTGAAAGTATAATTAGCACAAATATTAATAATAATTCTCGCGTAATTCCAGCTCGAGTGGGTCTGTGACAAAAACTATCTATCGTCAGCTGCCCAATCGGCTTTCTTCGTCGGCAGCATAATTGGAGGCTTCATATTCGGGTACATCGCGGATCACTACGGAAGAATACCGGCATTGGTGTCCTGCAACGCTGTGGGCTTCTTCGCTTCAGTAGCCACCGCGTTTTGCGATAATTTTTGGAGCTTCGCGTTGGCGCGTCTAGTTGTCGGGTCTTCATTTGACAACTGCTTCAATATACTTTTCATAATAACGATCGAGTATGTTGGACCGAAGTACCGTACATTAGTGGCAAACATGTCCTTCGGTATATACTTCGCCGTAGCAGCGAGTTTATTACCGTGGATTGCTTATTGGATCGCTGATTGGCGTATGCTCAGTTGGATAACAGCATTACCATTAATTACTGCATTCCTCGGACCTTGGATTGCGCCTGAAAGTGCTCGGTGGTATTTGATGGCCGGCAAAGTTGACAAAGCCATCGAAATGCTCAAGAAATTCGAAAAGGTCAATGGTAAAACTGTCAAGCAAGAGGTTTATGACGAATTTGAAAAAAGCTGCAGGACTATGGTTGAAAAGGATAAAAAGTTGAACAATTACACTGTACTTGACTTGTTCAGTAAGCCAAGGCTCGCTCGTATCACTGTTATTCTTGTTATTTATTGGTAAGTTTTTTAAAAATTTCTTAGCATAAATACAAATCTAAAAAAAAATATTTTATTTAAAGTAATTGAACACCTAAACTGTTCAAAACATTTATCATATCATCAACTTTATTTAAATTTCTTTATTATATCATAACAATTTTCGATGATTTTTTTTAACAGTATTTTACTTCCAAAACATTTACAATTAGCATTTTTTAGTTAATAAATAAAAAATTATAGTAATTACCTTATTAGCCATTCTTAAAATGTAGTAAACTTTTTTAGATCCATAAAATAAAAATATATTGCCCATAAAATTATGGATAATTAAGAATCTCCATTTTCATAAGATTTGATTGAGAATTAAAACAAAAATCTCTTAATTTTTATATGAATTATTATTTACTTTCACAATTTTTTTAATTAAATCGATTTAAAGATTTTTATCATTGAAAAAATCGTCCTTTGAATAAAAAAATAAAAATTATAATTTATAATTTATACACTTATAAATAATAAATATATATAAGGTCGAATTAATATTTAATAAACTGTATTAATTGTTAATAAATGATTTTTCACATTAGTTGATTTAATAAATATTTATTAATATTTAATAAATATTTGTTTAGATCCTTGAATAAACAGTTAATATAAAAAATTCTACTTTGACTCTTTTTATACTCCCATAACTTCAATAAAAAATTCCTTCAGATCAGATACGTACATTAAACTGAATTCTGATAAACAATTTAGGTTGACCCCACTTGTAAATAATTACCACAATTTTAATATTATAGACAAAATATTTATTATATTTAATAAAATAAAATTTTGTTCCAACAGAATATTTAACTACATTTAAGGTAGTTGGGTTGTGCAAGGCATACAAAGGCATATTTCAAGAAAATTATGAAATTTTTTATATCGAAAGATAAATATATTAATAATCTACCACCAAAATTTTAGATCAATTCACCACACCGTTTTTAAGTAATTAATTTTCGATATTGCTTCTTTTACACGTAGAGATATAGAAAGATGGTAAAGTTAGTATGAAATCATCCGTACCACTCGAGTGATGTAAATAGATTTCATACTAAATTTACCATCTTTCTATATCTCTACATGTAAAAGAAGCAATTTCGAAAATTAATTACTTAAAAACGGTGTGGTGAATTGATCTAAAATTTTGGTGGTAGATTATTAATATATTTATCTTTCGATATAAAAAATTTCATAATTTTCTTGAAATATGCCTTTGTATGCCTTGCACAACCCAACTACCTTAAATGTAGTTAAATATTCTGTTGGAACAAAATTTTATTTTATTAAATATAATAAATATTTTGTCTATAATATTAAAATTGTGGTAATTATTTACAAGTGGGGTCAACCTAAATTGTTTATCAGAATTCAGTTTAATGTACGTATCTGATCTGAAGGAATTTTTTATTGAAGTTATGGGAGTATAAAAAGAGTCAAAGTAGAATTTTTTATATTAACTGTTTATTCAAGGATCTAAACAAATATTTATTAAATATTAATAAATATTTATTAAATCAACTAATGTGAAAAATCATTTATTAACAATTAATACAGTTTATTAAATATTAATTCGACCTTATAAAATATATTTTTAATAACTAACTTTTGGCCGATTTTCATATATTTCAAATATATTTTAGATATATTAAAAATATATTTTTTTTTTATATTTTTAGCTATGTATTTTTTATATATCTTGAATATATTTAAAATATATATGAAAATCGGTCAAAATTTAGTTATTAAAAATATATTTACTATAATACATATTTTTTATATATTTATATATTTTTTATAGATTTTTAATATATTTAAAATATATTTTTTTTTCATGGGGGAAATAAATTCTTCTATCAGTGTATGACAATAATGTTTAAAATACTTTTCAGGTTGTTAATAATTTTAACATTCGACGGTCACGTGTGGAACATGAAATTATTGCATCCCGATGTATTTACGTCATTCTCCTTAGCAGCGCTGACGGAGTTGCCGGCCGCAATATTACTGGCATTATTCCTAGACAAATGGGGACGTAGATGGATGGGCTTCGCATCAATGCTCATCTGCGGAATATTCTCGTTCGTTGCACTGGCGACGCCTGAAGGTATAAATTTGATGACATGTTTAAACTGTAACTAGCAGTGTTGTGCTACTTCGGTCCTGTTATGTTATACACACTCGGCTCTTGTTCAATATACTGTACTATATATATAGTATTAACAGTACTAACAGTTAGTATGTAGTCTTGTTCAGCAGACTTAAGCTATCATCCCGACGGCAATCGCCACCCTTATATAACACATCCCACTCTGTGACTGAGACATAGACTGAGACTGAGATACTGGGAAGCTGTTAAAGCTGGTGTACTCACAGCACCGTACAGGTACACATGAAGAGTCTAAATCGATAAATTTATACTTGATTTAGGTTCAATTACGGTCGCCATGGCGATTCTCGCTCGTCTCGGTGTTAATGTTGCTGCTAATATCGGCTTCCAGTATGCTGCTGAAATGCTTCCCACTGTTGTTCGTGCCCAGGGAGTTTCTCTCATTCATATTATTGGATACTTTGCTCATATAATTGGACCCTATGTTATTTACTTGGTAAGCTCATTTAAAAGCACTTTCAAAGAGTTTTATCTTTATACTACATTTACTGGCAAAAAAGAAATACATAATTGTGTCTCTTTGAGATATTAGTGCTAAATACCAAAAAAGCATATTACTTTCCGGAGCTTTGTCAATTAAAGCGCTTAAAACCAGAGAAAGAAATAATAATTTGTTTTCCAACAACAAAGGTGTTTGTAATGAGAAAAATATTGGAAAATATTTTTAAAATAAAATTTTTTATTGTTATTTTTTGTGTAATTTACTGATAAAAAGAGTCTAAATTATTTTTAAAAGAAGTGAATAAATTTTTGATGAGTTTTGAGGAATATAAAATAATTAAAGTATTTTTTAGGCACAACATTTAAAAAATTTTTTTAATTTGTTTGTAAAGAAATTAAGAATTGTAGGAAATACGTCAGAAAACATAATTATGTATTATAAACTGCCTTTTATATATTTAATAAAAAATTAACAATTTAATAAGAAAAGATTTTGAACAAAAATTTTTTTATATCGATTTAAAACAATGAAACTCTTCAAGATGATTTTTTTGGTTCAACAATTTTCTTTTTAAATATAGTTCATTTTTTTATCAATTTAGTATTAAGAAAATATTTTTTAAATTTAAATATTGAATATTTTTTACGTTAACATTTTTAATTAAAAATATTTTTCAGGCTGATGTTAAAAAAGAATTGCCCTTAATTTGCTTAGGATTAATAGCAATAATAGACGCTTTTCTTACATTAACTTTGCCAGAGACACTGGACCAAGAATTACCAGAAACTCTTCAAGAAGGCAATGACTTTGGTAAAGAACAAAGTTGTTGGTGGGTTCCTTGCCTAACTTTGTAAGTATTTATAATAATTTATATTTTATATATTAATTAATAAAAAAATAAATTATTGCAAGCTATAATAATTAATTAAATTTTTGTTGATAACAGGTCACATGAAAAGAAGAAAAAATACCGAAGAAAAGTGGGAGCCGTAAATGCCGGTTATAATCCAGGAAGTCTTACAAAAATAGACTCCACAAGATTATAACATTAATTAATAAATAATAAAAAATAATTATTTTTAAACTCTTGTAAAAAATTTGAATTTCTGCAAATATTTTTTTTTGGCATGGAAAAATTTTTTTCATTAATTAATTTAGATGTTACTTTGTTCATTATTTTAAATATTTAAGTAATTATTAGTAATATAATTAATAGTATAGTTGAAATAAATAGATAAGATAAAAATTATCAATGAAATACTCTATTCACTTGAAATCATTCGCGTACTTACTTGTGCCAAAAGACCGTCAATGTTGTTTTAATTTAAGTATCATCTTTATTATTATTATTATTATTATTAATTAATAGTAGATAGTTTTTTTTATTAGATAAGCTACTAACAGTAATTAAATATTTAAAATTCAAATTAAAAAACTTTGTATAAAGAAAAATAATAAAACGTTTCACTGTACAGTACTTTAAGAATTCCAAGTGCACTTTATTGTATGTCGTTATACTTTAATTAAATGTAAATCTGTAATTATTATTAATTAATAAAGTTGTTAGAATATTGTTTACGCAAACGTCTTTCAGGTGTTAAATACTTTAATGATTATCTAGTAATTAAAAACTAAGACAATATTGAGAGTAATTAGTCTTTTAAGTATTAGTTTCACTATAAAAATATATCATATATTATTAATATTAATAATAAATGATTATCGTTCTATAGTACAATTGTTGTTTCCATTTCGATGCCGATCAACGTCTATTTTATTGCAGCAAGGAAAAGACCAAAAGTGGTCACCTTTACTGAAATCTTCTCCTTGTTGTAACGTTTGAGGAAGCTCTCGCCCGGCTGTTTCCGGTAGAAATAATACTATTAATGAAGTTCCTAATGCTAGTACGCCGACAAACATCATTGGTAACCCAGGCCAAACTGATGCCTAAAAAAAATATCATTTTTAATGTCTTATTTTGGTGAAAAAAAAATTTTTTTAGAAATCAAAATTTTTTTAATTTTTAAAAATTTTTCTTATAAAAAACTTTGAACAGTAGAAAAAAATTTGAATAATCGTTAAATATTTTTTTTTTTTGAATCCACAATAATAAAAAATATTTTGGTAAAATTTTTTTAATTATTTAGTAAGTTGAAAAAAGATTTATAAAAAAAGATATCTAAATTTGTAATTGAAATAAAATTTTTTGTCCTGACATTTATATAGCTATAATCATTGAAAATTTTTTTTTATTTAAATAAAAATAAAATAAATGAAAATTGAATAAGAAAACAAATCTTACGAGATCGGTTATATAAGGAGCAACAGCGTGGGCTAGAATACCAAAGAGGTGAACTAATGCAACGCCTTGAGCTCTTACAGGTGTTGGAAGTAATTCAGTCGCGTATTGAAGACCAATATTTGCAGCCATATTTGCGGAAAACCGTGCTACTACCGATGAACTTAGTTTAGCTTCAGCTACACAAGTAAAATAAAGTTAATATTTGTACAAGTGATAAAATTATATTTGAGATCGAGAAATAAGGATACGGAACACAATTGCTGTTTCAAAATAGCCGAGCATTCTTTGCAGTATCCTATTGTTCGGTCTCGTTTTCAATGTTTCAAATGTTAAGTAATAAAATAATAAAAAAGTATTATAAATATTGACACGGTGGTATTTACTTGATGGCAAATAGAGTTCAGCGAAGCTACAAGCACTAATAGCACCGAGAGTGAGGAATCCACAAAATCTACGGCCCCATCGATCAAGAATGAGTGTAACAAGCAAACCAGCAGGTAATTCTGTAGCTGAAGCCAGGGTGAATGAAACAAATACTGAACTGCGTAGAAGTTTTAACGAGTAGACGTGCCCATCGAAGCAAATAATCAATAAGGTCCTGTTGAAATAATATTGTCTTTTTATTATATTTATTATTTTGGATTAAAGTTAGTACACTAAAAAAAAAATTACTTGATTTAAGAGAAGTATTTTTGATTTAGGAAAATTAATTGATGAGAATCGTAATACGTCTTGATTCAAGAATTTTTGTGTTGAAACTCGTTTTCTTAGCTTGACAAATTCTACACTTTTGATCAAAAGAATATTATATCTTCGTGAAATACAGTCTAATTTTTCATTGAAGTATACAATTATTGAAAACTAACAATAATTTTTTTTTCCTTCAAAAATTTCATATTTTTGATTCTAGAACAAATTTTTTCATTCAAAATATTGAAATAAATTTGAAAAAATTCAAATTTTTTACTTGACCCCATTATGAAACTTATTTTTGATAATATAGAAAATAACAAACATCCGAGGATTGTTCGTATTCTTCAAACACATTCATAATAGTTTTAATCAATGTTACTTTGTATCTTAACTTAATCCTCGTTTCAAGAAATTGTTAAGTAAAAAATAGTTTATTTTGTTTGAAAATAGTTAAGTGTTTCATTGAATTCGTAAAATGTTGAATTCGCCACGGAAAAATATATGTATAAGAACATACACCTTTTTCGCCAAAATCGTATATGAAAACTGTATTATATGTTCTCAAATATAATGGATAAGAAAATAACTTTTCCAAAATTCGGTATGAAAAAAATTGTTGATAAATTGTAAATAAATTATTATTGTAAATAAATTATTAATTAACAGATATATGATTGCTTATATATTTTCATACATAATTTTTCTGTGAAAACTGAGGAACTTTTTCTTTAAGCCCATACATTTTTTTTTAAATTATGAGTGAATTTTTTGACTTAATTTGAACTGAATATCTCGAAGAAAGAATAAAATTTTGAAGAGAATATTTTTCTTGAATCAAGTAGTTTTTTTTTTAGTGAAGATGTAAGATAGAGCGATATAAAAAAAAATTTTTTTTTTTTAACATTCAAAAGTGATAAATTAATATTGCAACACTGTTAATACATAATAGTTGATTAAATATTGATGTTACGCATTAATTTAGTAATTAAAACGGTAATAAATATTCAAAAGTAATTATGATGCATAATGATTGTTAATAAATGAATAATTTATAAGATATAATAAAATTAAAAATAATAATAATTTATTTACCAAAAAGAAATTAAGAGGATTGTAGTCCTAGCCAGTCGTGGTGTTTTAAATAGGTCAAATAATGTTGCAGACTCGACGCGATTATTAATGTCTCCGGTATTTCTCTTTAATAGTAGACAAATACATATTTTATTCAATTATATTTGTCACATAAAGATAAATCAATACTTTAAATTGTGATAAAAATATAAGTTACTGTACAATAGAATAAACTTACAATGAAAGCGTCGTAAATTCTGGGATCGGGATTTTTTCCGTTCACGCGGGCGACGTTTTTCAAATTTTCAACAACCTTTTCCCATTGCTCTGTGGATGCGTACCATCTAAATAAGTCCCGACGAATTGAAAGCAATGCATTATTAAATATTAATAGATATTTTAGGTGTCGCTTACAGAATTATTTACCGTGCACTTTCCGGGAGAATCCACGGTGTGAATAATCCAACAATCATCGGAATAGCAACAATGTAGGCGAAATGTCTCCAGTCACTAACATAATAAGCCACCCAGGGCAGTACAGTACTACCAATTGCGAAATGAATTCCAAATGCGATGTTAAATACTATTGTCCGTCTATTTATTGCCATGTATTCAACAACTGAAATTTACTTATTCAAATTAATCTTTCACGAGGATAGTTTAATTCTGGATTCAAAACTTCATCATTCGAATAAATTGTGATTTACTGCAGGTTCATTAAAATTATTATTAAGGAGAATAATAATATATTTTAATAATTATAATTGTTATTAATATGAATAATAATGGACAAAATTTTTATTACGTTTGCATAAATAAATTTAAGGGTGAAATAAATTGGTGGATAGTCACGATCGATAGAACAAAGGAACTGAAAATAAAATGCGCGCTTACTTCAAAGAGAAATTTTTTTTAGAAATTCTTATTTAAGAATCACTTTAAATTTTTAGCAATAAAATTTTCGTTGTTGGAAAACTTTAAGTTATAAGTCGTTTAATTTATTTATTTAAAAATTAATTATGAATTGTAAAATTCACCCCTAAATATTGTACCCAATAAAAAAAAATTCAAATTAAACCTTAATTTTTACAATCTAAAAAAAAAAAATTTATTGCAAAAAGATTTTTCCATGAAATAATTTTTTTAACACATTAATTTGCAACCATAGTTATAAAAATTTATAAAAACAATCAACAACAAATTAATAGTTCAGTTTTCATCTTTAAATTTCCGTATTGTCCGATCCACTGTCTACACAAAGAAAAATTCACGCTTATAAACTCAAAATTAGTGTATTAATACAGAATACCGCATGAGCATAAGCTTATAGTCAAATAAAATAAAATTTATTCCTGTCTTCAACAGTGATACTTTTTCAACGTTATCAGTTGGTCAGCGATTGAGATTCTACAAAAGATATGCCATGAAATATATGTATGCGTAAGAGTAATTTACGAGTTCAATACTACCGAGTGCTTATAAGGTCGATTTTACTATCTAAAAAAGAATATTTAAAGTACTTAAACTCTTCGAGGTCAAGTTCATTTGGTATCAATAAAATAAAATAAAATTACACATTATTAACTTCTTAAATTTCTGATGATAATTCACTGTTGAATAATTGAACTTACCAATAATTAGTGGTATATTAATGCAGTTATCGAACGCAAGTCCAGTAAAAAAACGGCAAAGCGCAAAGGTCCAAAAATTGTTGGACCAAGCCGTGGCGACAGTTCCAACACCAGATACCAAGCAGCTGATAACCAACGCCGGTATCCGTCCTTTGTGATCAGCAATCCATCCAAATATAAATGAGCCGAGTATTGAGCCGCAGAAGAAAATAGCTTGCGAACTCGATATCAAGTATTCTTTATCGCATACCCAATCTAGCTAATCGACAAGGGTCACGAAACAGTCAATTCGGTCGTCTTATAAAATATCTAAGAAATTATTATAATAAATGTAATAATTTATCGCACCTCGCTGCTGATTGTCAAGTAGGGAACTTGTGTTAAATTGTACTCCCATTTTTCACATTTGACCTTTTTGTCTGTTTTCCATGCCGGTGAATTCGGATTTTTGTTGTACTGGATCAATTCACGGAAGTTTAAATCCTTCCTATTGCACTTGTCGTAGTAAGGAAACGTATCCGTTGCGGGTATCGCCACTTTTATTCTGTAATTAAGTTTTTAAATGATTAATAATATAATTAACTATTAATAATTATAATGTAAAAATGACGGTCCTAAAAATGTAAATTTAAAATTATTTAAATTAATGACATTTGAAAAGAACAAATTTATAATAAGAAATCACATAGTTATTTAATTAAGTATTCCAAAAAAAAAAAAAACATCTTGTCATTTATCAATATAGATTATATACAATAAACAATAACAATAACATTTCGTATCAAGTCTACTTGCAATTGAATATTTAATACCAATACATTCACGCTTTTTCTGAGGTAATGAATACAGATAATTATATTGTTATCAAAGAAGCGATAACTACTTTTACAGTTATTTATTTACTCGTTCGCTCAAGTTATTTTCAAGTTGTACATATGATACTTTACGTACAAATCGATCCACGCGTACTAACGATTACTTCATTGTTCGTAAGAAAAATAATACAATTATTAATAATATGATACAACAATTACTTTAAAATGTGTATTTGTGAAACATAATGAAGACGTTGAACTTGGTAGTGTCATATCATTTATGAAATTATTTTTTTCTCTGTGATTATTTTATAATTGATACTTTAACAAAAGAATTGCTGTAACACAATAACTTATTTAAAATTTTTTATACTTTATTGTAAGGACACTCATAAAAAATCAATTAAATTCAAGAAGTTAAAATTTCAAACTCCGATAATCATTTTAAAGAATTAAAATGTTTTTAATCAAAAGAAAAATTCTTGAATGAAAAAAATTTACTCAAGCCCAGGAAAATTTTTCTGCTTGATTCCAGACTTTAAAATTCTTCAAAATGGTTTTTTTGGTTTAAAATTTTCTCTCTCTAATGAAAATAATTTTTTTATCAGTCTGAATATATAGAAAAAGCAATTACAAACAATTCAAAAAATTAATTTTTATAAAATTTGACCATAAAAAATATTAAATAAATGTTTAAAATAAAAGTTACTTACCGTTCTTCGGCAGTGAGGTTTAAATCCTGCAATTCCGGAACATAACACCAGTATTCCTGTGGTACGAGTGTCAAAAAAAACGTCGAAAAATACAAATTCGAATAAATAAGCCCATAAGGAAAGAGCGCGAGCAATAAATAGAGCTGGTATTTTCCAAAATTTCCTACGTGAGGTAGAATATCGTCAATAGACTCAAATTTCTGTCTAAGAGCCGTACGTTCACTTAGTTCCATATCGTAGCTACGTGTCTTCAAGTGTTCCTTCATAATTGCCGGCTTGTTAATCTGGATCGTATCTTGGATTTTAATCTTAAAAAGTATTAGTTTAATTTATTATTATGCCTTTCAGATGTATCTTATTTGTCTGTCTGATCAATACATATATTACAAAACAATAATAATAATAACAATAAATAAATAAGTTAAGCAAGTTGACTGGTTAATTTTTTTATTTCCATTCCGTACTAATAACTTTTTATTACTCTTTATTAATGTAAATCATTATAGTTTTTATCCACGCACTATTTTTAAGCACACACTCAAATAAATCCTTGAATCAATTGGTTTCATCAATCAACTTGTCAAAGTATTTATTTATTTTTTTTTAATTATAGACTTTGTCTTTTATTTTTTTTTTTCCATGCATAAATTGAAGAAAAAATGCATGATAATTTACATCGAGCTGATACTTACTTGTAAAAAATTTTTGAAAATTATTTATTAGCGATTATTGATTAACACACATCGCTTTTAATAAAATACTAAAAATCACTGCAATTTATTTTAAACAATTATATTTAAAAATAAAAAAAATTTAATCAGTAAACATATTTTAAATTATTCGTCGACCTTCGCAGTGACAGAAAATTGCTTAGAAACTCTAAATGATAAACAGTAGTTGTGCTAGCAGTTAAAAAATAATTAAGGAACTAAAACTGAAATTGAGTGACAATGAGCCGAGGGAATATGTTGTGAACTGGACTATTGTAATGCAAGTTACTTACACGAGTAACAATTCACGAGTATGAGCGTAAAAAATAATAAAGAATTAGAAAGAGAAAGAAATAGTCCGGGTGCGTGTACTGAGAGAGGGCAATGTATTTCTGGGAGTTGATTATGTCACGGCCAGAAGCTTTTCACACACTTCTCTTGTTCTGCTATATATAATTATTGGATGTATATAATGTGTATATAAGTCTTACAAGAGAGTGCAAGTGTTGAGTAAAATGTCATAGGAATACATTGCTATAAAAGTTAATATTTATTTTAAAATTTAATAACTCACACTTGTTTTTTCACGAAGAACAAATTTTATCCGTATTATCAGATTTTAATTATCAATGTCTGCTGTCTTGATTTTTTTTTTAGTATAAATATAGAATGCAGAGCTATAACCAGATTATTTAAATCATTGATTTGGCATTTAAAATTGTAATACTTTAATTATTTTTTCTAAATCATGGTTTCATTTTATAGAGAGAAAATTCATTGTTTGAGATCAATTTATAATTGACGAATTTATAAAAAAAATTTTTTTCATAGCCTAAAAAAGAATTTAAAAAATTTGCCAAAATTGATATGAAACAATTTAATTAAAATACTGCTTAAAAATATTTATTGAAAACTCTAGGCAAAATATTCCTCGATAAAGTTCCGATAAAAAGCAACAGCGCGTTTAAAATTACAGTACAAAAGAAATCGATTAAAAAATTCCACTCTCGAAACTTGAGAATTATTGTCCACAAATTTCTACCACAGGTCGATTAATTTATAAAAAATATAATACATAAGTCAAGTTGTCTTTTCTAATAATTATAATTATAATTTGTCTTCCCGAGACAGTAAATAAAAAACATGCAATATTATACAAAATAATGAATTAATGGTAACAATACATTTAAATAAAATAAAAAATAATTAATTTAGTTGGATGAAGAATAATCTAATGAATTTACAATTTTACAACCTCGACAGGCGCCGAGGAATTTTTTCGTGACCTCACGCTAGATCTTTGAATCATGCTACTCCTAAGTACTTCACCGCGAAGTGACAACCGTCCAGAACTGCGGATACTGTCTGCTCTGTAGGACCTGATGAATTCTGGCCTTTGCTCGTGGTCAGCTTTCCTGTGATTGAATGAATTAATTAATACAGTTTCTAATTTATAATTTAAAATAAAGTAAGTGATTGAAAAAATTGGTAATTACTTCATCATGCAAGGCATATCCCAGAGGCCTTGATTTTTTCCAAAGTCTTCACCATCCAGCAAAGTCTGCGGTAATTCTTGATCAAGTGTCTCGGGAAGAAATAGAGCCAGCGCTCCACCGATGATACCCAGAATCCCTAATAGAAGTAGAGGTAATTCCGGTGATATTACAGCAAGATAAACGATGAAAGGCGCTATGATACTGGCAACATATCCCATTATATGAATAAGTGCCATGCCCTGGGCACGTACAACGGTTGGTAATAATTCAGCCGCGTATTGTAGTCCGATGTTGTAGGATATGTTCACAAAAAATCTTCCAACTATCGCTAGTGATGCAGCATAAATACCTGAAATTTATTTTAAATAGTTAGTGGTGCTTCTACCAATAATTAATAGTTAATAATAATAATTATAGTAGAAATCTTTAGAATTTATGGTATTTGTTCCGTAACACATAAAATAATTAACTACCCTTCCTCATAAGATGAATTTTTTAATAATTTATAGAGAATATTCAGACTTAGATAGACTAATTTTTAGATTAATATTCAATCATAATATCTAGATACAGATAAAACGAAGTAATATCTTCGACTGTTAAGGGTTGATTTTTTTTTCTTACATTTAACTTTTAAAATTTTATACAGTGTTTAATATCAATGAATTTTTAAACTCCGATTATTTTGTATCAATAAAATTTGTCGATTGATTCATATAAAAAATAGATTAGAAATCTATATTAATATACAAATATTTTGGTATGTCAGCGCATAATTTTTGACAAACAAATTCCTATGAGACCTAGGTGAATAATGTTTTAAGAAACTAAATTAAAACTCTTTCAGTTGAATAATATTTACTGTTGAAAATTTTTTTCAACAGTGCCAATTAATCTTAATAACAATCAGCAAAGCTATCAATTTGACTCGTTTTCATTCGAGATATTTTACTAAAAAAATTTTATGTTAAAAAATTCCGATAATATTAACAAAAAGCTCGAATATCAAATCATCAATAAAATATTTGGTAAGTGTTGAAAAAAATAAGAAAATAATCATTTTTTTGAATTTAAGTTTTAAACGTGACTGAAACAGTTAAAGTCAGCGATATGACCACAGCAGTTAAAACCGACTCTGAATAAATTATTTTATTTTGTGTAAGATATTTCATGTGAAAGATATACTTTTTTTTTTTTACGTGATGTATTTTATTCTAAGATGGTCCATCTTTACAAGCATGAAATGTTATTCATACATGCTTGTAAATTTGCAACTGAGGTATTTTTCTGTTCTTTAGGAACTATAGTTTCAGAAAAAATATCACTCGAAAGAAACTATTCTTCATATAAAATGTCTTTCACAAAATAAAATAATATTACGTGGTGAGTGAAACAGTTTTCGTATAATTTTAAAACGAAGCAATATTAATTGATTATCCACAAAGAAGGCATAAGTATTAATAGTTAATTAATAATGTACCATCAAATAGTTGAACTGAATCAAAAAAATATCAATTCTTAGAACCTCAGATTATATATCTTTACCGAGCAATAGTCTATGAGGATCTCGGACACGACATTTAGGAACAAACTCTCCAACCTACTCTGTTATGGATCCTGACTTTTTCTTGACATTTTTCGTGATATTTAATAAACATAAAATACTTACGGCTCGAAACTGCACAGGCTCCAAGGCTGAAGATTCCAGACACAGCCATTGAGCCGAATGCAAGCCAACGTCGTCCCCACCGATCGAGTAATAATGTCAGTAATGTATCAGCTGGCATTTCTGTTGCCGAGGCTATTGTGAATGTGATAAATACATTTAAGCCAAGATTGTCGACGTTACGTACGTGACCATCAAACACCAGAGATATTGCCATCCTAAACATTAACGCACCGTTTATAGATAAATCAATATCATTATCATTACATTAGTAACCACGATAATAATGGTAGAATTAGTCATAACCAACATTAATATAGATATAAAAAAATATATGCATTTTATTTAATTAAATTAAATGAATACTTACCAAATTACAATTAGTAGCAATACTATCTTCCGTAAACGAGGGCTTTTGAACAGATCGATTACCGAGTACGTTTTATTGGTGTCTTCAATTGAAAGTTCTTGCTCACAACTTTCCTAATAAAATCAAAACTCGTGAAAAGTTTTCAGAAATGAAAGTCGTATAATGTTAATTAAGAAATTGAATTATAATTACTTTGAAATATTTGTAAACGTTATCGGGAACCTGGGTACCGTTAATTCTTTCGAATTTTTTTAGAATATGAATAGCGCGATCTATTTGTCCTTGACTGACGAGCCACCTTGCACTCTCGGGTACCAGCCAGGGCGTTGCTACAGAAAGTGCAAGTGGAATGGATAAAACAATAGTGGTCATACGCCAGTTTGCTAGATAGTATGCGATCCATGGAAGAACGCACGCTGCGGTCGTGAAGAACAATGCTATTGACATGTTTGCCACAAAGGTACGCCATTTCGGTCCCACGTACTCAAGAACTGAGGATTTCAATTATATTAACGATTACTAGATTATTACTTTTACTTTCTAAGGAATTACATACTGAGAGAAAAAGATACTACTATTGAAAAAATTTTCTTGATACAAGAACGTACATTCTTAGAAACAGATGTTGATATTATTTTGTCAAAAAATTAATCCATTTAAATGGATTATTTTAATACATTTTTGAGCCAAGAAATTATTTTCTGGACAATATACTGAAAAAAAAAAATTAATTTGATTAAAGAAAAAAATTCTTGATTCAATTAAATTTTCCTTAAATCAACAAAAATTTGTCAGTTCAAGAATTTTATACTTAAATCAAGATTTAAAGACTTTTAAAAATGATTTTTTTGGTTCAAGAATTTTTATTTTGACTCAAGTGATTTTTTTTTTTTTTTTTTTCAATGTAACTTCTTTTTCTCTCAGTACATACATAAAATTTTGTACTATTGTATTATATTGATAAATCTCAAACCAACGTCATTGAATGATTGTGACCTTCTATCATACATTCAACAGTTAATCCGAGCTGACCGCGAAAAAATGGTTAATGCCATAAAGATAAATAATTAGTGAGTAATCGGATGACTGGTTGAGGTTTTTATAACTATTTTTTATTACTGTATATTTGATTACTGATTATGGTTGTGATTATATGCAAGGATATCTCCATTCTCTTGAGATATTGGCTGGTTTGTATAACATATGTCTGTATTCAATACATAATATATGTTTAAATTCGCAGATTTAATTCTGTCTTATGCAAAACCCGCTTACGTATGCACAATCTAGTCGATTCAACGCTATCCGTTTTACTCGTTACAGAATCTTGCTGTAAATGACGTACCGCTGCGGTTAGTTACTAATGCTAGTGCTAATGACCTGATATTATATCCTTTACAATCGTACGTATCTCTGAAGTATATATGTATGTGTATCTGTTTATCTCTCGTGACCTTTTATGTAATTAATATTGATTTTCGCAACTTGTTTCACTTATATTCATTGCAGGTAATTATCATTGAAAATATTAATTTTCAATAAATTGTTAATTGTGTGAGTAAAAAACTGTCTAGTCATTTTTAAAGTCATTATGTTGTTAATTTAGATAAATGAATACTAGATTGTAATTATAGTGTGATTTAATAATGTGTCGTGGAAAAAAGTTGTGAAGAGTACTTAGTTAAGATATTTTGTTTAGACAAGATATCTCATGTACATGTATGTCACGGTGGTTTGTTCATTAAATTGTTGATGTATAATTTGCTAAGGATGTACCAGCACTGTGGAAACTTTTAAATAAACGTTTGATTTTTTTTATGCAGTTTAAATACGAACAAATAAAATTGGGATATTTGAACGGGTTAACCTGAGTGCTTAATTAAATATTTTAAACATTGCCTTTATGGAGTGACCCAAAAACATTGACATTTTTTTGCTCAGAAACTTCTGATAAATATTCAACAAAAAAATACGGGTCGAAAATTAATATATTAATGATGATTTTAATTCAATAAAATTAATACTTTACCGAATTAATAAAAAATTTATAATGAAAATAAAAATATAAATCTGCATTCTAGTATCTTGCTCATACTGCCTTAATTTTAAATTGATTATTTCAGTTCATTTGGATGACAAATGATCAAATTAAAAAACATGAATCTCTACTTTGAAATTTTGCTATGAAAGATGTTTTTGTTGGTAAAAATTTTGACAAAAGATAAAGAATACACTAATGATAAAAACATTTAAACACCATAAATCAGAGGAACTAAGTTCACTGTCACTTTAAAAGTAACAAATAATGGTAGTAAATTTTTAAAGCAATCAAAAGATACTTTGGGACGTAAAAGTGTCATGAGAAAGAGATTTGGAAATTTATTTGACTTGAAATTTAGGGGAGCTTAAGAGAACAAAGTTTAAACCTAATGCTTACCTAAAATGTACATCATGGTGAAGCAGTTATCGAATGCAAAACCTAAGAAAAAACGACATGCTGCGAACTCCCAAAAGTTATTAGAAAAGGCAGTTGCTATCCCGGCGATACACCCGATAACGTTTGCTCCTACTAATGCGGGAATTCGGCCGTACTTGTCGGCGATAAAGCCGAAAAGTAAACCACCCCATATTGCTCCAATAAAGAATATACTCTGAGCATATGTCGGGAGTGCTCCATCGTCACATACCCAGTTGTTCTAAAATAATTTTATAACAGTTATTAATTTTTGTTTGATGTTAAAATTTATTTGAGAAAGGATTTATAAAGGGAAAAAACTGTTATGGTTAAATATTAATACTATCATGGGAAAGTTAAGTTGACTGAAAAAAAAAATCTTAAACTGAGATATTGTTTTTAGTTTCAATAAATTTAAATTGATTTAAGAATTTTTCTTTTTTATTGAAGACGATCTAATTCTTCCATATAATTTTTTTTAATCGATATAATTTAATCCGTATACTCCGTTTCAAAATACAGTAATTGATGTTTATCCCTTAAAAATGTTATAAATATATCTCTAACATAAAAATAGATTTCTTGATTGACTAAGAGTGTAAACTTTCTTGTTATCAAGAAAATTTGAAAAAAATTAAAGAAATTTCTATTACAAGAAATGTTTTGAAATAGGAAAGCCGATTTATCACATGATTATTTTTACAAATAACTTCATTCGTTAGTGTCAGCTGAGTTAATAAAATTACGACACATTTATAATAATAAATGATCAGGTGTTAGAATAAAAACACTGCATTGATTAAAGAGCAGTCTAGTCTAGAAAGTAAATTATTTATTAATTTTTTTTACCTCTGTTGCAACAGTTTCATAAGGAATTTCAGTGAAATTATATTCCCAACCGTACTGACACTTTTGAACTGGCCAGGAAGGATCAGCGATGGGAATGATTGTAGTGCGGTTTATCAAAATCTGAGTGAAATTAACTTTGTACATAGAGCAACGTGAGTGTCCTGATGCACCGGCATTGTCGTAAATTCCTGCCGGTGGTATTGCTAATGCTATTCTACAACACAATAATAATAATATAATACTAACAATGTTTTTCTCCTATGAGAATCGGTTTTTAATTTTTAAGAAATAATTTTATCAATTAAACTAGTAATTAATGAAATAATTTCTCAATGAAAAAAAAAAATAGTAACAATAAACATATATTACATAATACATGTATGATTTTGAGATTGATAATAATAATAAGGTGTTAATTAAATAGCTCATGCTCAGATATTCAGTTAACTGATATAAAAGAATATGACATTCGTTTTTTAAAATCGTAGGATGTGATAACTAGTTCTTGTGAGTTTCAATTGGTTCTTAGTATTTTTTTCTCTATTTTATCGTTGTATTTACTTGTATATTAATAGCATGACACTCGTGAGTTTCATTAGATCCTATCAGTCGTCTTTAGTTTGTAATAGACACGATTTTTCGCAGATAAATTAAGTATGCAATTTGCTGTTTAATAGTGACGATAAAGACATAAACGCAACGTTGTGTTGAAATCCAGTGTCCATGTTATTTTTTTACTTTCACGCTCTCATTGCTCGTGTGAAGGCTCTGCATAATTATTTATTTTATTTTTAAATTTCAATCATATTGTAAATCAATATTATTAAAATTATTCAAACTTTTTAACATCATTTCAATAAAAAAAAAAAAAATTATCATCTAATTTATAAATCAAAAACTAAACATTAAAAATTAGTTCATCGAATTATAAAAAAATTACCGTGTTATTATTTTGGAAATAAATCATAGATGAATGGTTTTGTAATCTCGAATTGTAAATTGAATTATTATGCAATAGATAATAAGCTGTTGGATTTTTTTTGCGACAAAAAAAATCAAAATCTTTTGTAATAATATAAGATTTAATCTGTGCGAAGCCGCTAGTGAGATTATTTGTTTCATTAAATTAAAAAAAAAATATACTTTTATCGCACGCAAATAGATAAAGCCAATTGTAATTAGTTTTGATAAAAATTTTTTGTCTCAAGTAGATAAGTGTGTCTAGCAATTAATAAAAAAATAAAAATAATAATAAACGAATGGCAATGGCTGGTCAAAAATGAAATTAATGTATTGTCCGATAATTATTTGGATAGCTGCCGGGCCTTGATTGTTTTAAATGATTAATCACTTGAACATTGAATGACGGAGTTTATTGGTTTTTTGGCATTAATAACTCTCTCTTACCTCTGATCAATGGTAAGGTTCTCTAAGCCAGGGACTTTACACCAATGCTCGCCCGGCACTAGTGTAATGAATATTTGTGTAAAGTAAACCCACGCGACAAACGAAGCGAATGGTATCATTAGCAAAAACAAAATTTTTTGATACAGCCCAAACTCTCCTACGTAAGGCAGCAGCTCGTCAAAATCCATTCTTTTTTCCTCTTTTGTCTTCGGTTTACTTTGGGTAATCGTGAAAACTTCATTGTTGTTATCGTGTGTTAGTGAATTCTGGCCGTTGCTATCATTCACGATGTAATTATTTTTAGTGGTCATAGCCAAGTTGTTTTATCAAATTTTAAGTTATTCACAAATTTATAAATCAATATTAGCCAATTAGAAACTTAAACTCCATCTATTTCAAACTTATCACTTTTAAATATATAAAAAATAATTTTTTTATCTTCCTTTCAATTAAACTGATAAATTTTAAAAAATATGAAGGCTAAGTTTCACGAAAAATATAATATTATATTTTCCGTGTTTAAACAATTACAAACATCTAAGTTTATAACTAGACTTGATTAAACCACACTGAAACCATTCAACGTGTTACTGTCTCTTTATAAGTTCTGACTAACTCACTCTCCCTCTCTTTTTTTTCTGTCAGTAGAGACCGAATTGGATACTTTTCAAGTATTGTTGAAAGTTGCTTAGGTTTTGTTATTACTTTATTGCCATTATTACTTCCAAGTTTATTAATTAGTTTTAAACGACGTTGAAAGTTTTTGAACTTAATGAATTTTATAATTTGATAACGGACTATTTACTTTAAAAAAAAAATATTACATGTTAAATCAGGGACACATTAAAGAGAAAAAAATTTTGTTAGTTTTAATAATATGATAAGTTTCAATAATAATATATTTAGTTTAAGTAATTTATTTATAATATTTAATATCAATTTAATAGACATATTATTACTTGATAATTTTTTATATAACATAAAACACATAAAGTTTTATGAAATTATGATACAAGTTATTTTAGATTTTGTAAATACCGTATTTAGTTACAGAAAAATTTATTGACCGTAAAAAAATTCATTTATTTATTTAGAAACAATTTATTAAGTTATTCCGAATAAGCAATTATTATTTGTTTTAATTGATGTTTTTTTTTGAAAAAAAAAAAAAAAAAAAAATTTCAATTAATAGTTATAGACTATTCATTGATAATTAATACAAATTTTCAGAACTTAATGTTTTTGCTTGAAATATGATATTTATCATTAACAAAATAAAATAAAAAATTTTTTATTTTATCATTATCAATGTTTATAATTTATCATACTAGTAATTTCTGTTAATAAAAAAACAATTAGTCTATATCATCGATTTAGATTTTTTTATCTCTTCAAGTCACAACAAAACAAAATTTCTACACTCAATTTTTCATTGAGGGTCCAAATAGATATTTATTAAGTTTAAAAATATTTATTATCGGTTAATGAAGCTCATTAAATAACAACAAATTTTTCTATCAGTGTATTATCGTTTCTTTTTATGCTTTTGTGATAAAAGTACTTTATTACATAATAATAAACTTCGAAAAATAAATGATATAAATGAAATTATTGATAATTCAATTTTATTATGACTTAAATTCTGATAAACATATATTATTTTTACACGATTTATAATTTAAAGAATTAGTGAACGGTGTCTGTTGAAATATTAAAAATAATCTTGAGTCTCAATTAATTTTTTAAAACGATTAAAACTTATTTTAACGTGTTCTATTGCAACGCAGTTAAATGTACCTAAACGATGTATAGCAATTGAAATGATGTCACGCATAATAGTGTTTGTTTAAAAACAAATTTCTACCAAAACATCAATACTGAACAAAAATATTTTCTTGTAATTTATCAGTATCAAAACATTTAACAAGTTTTATCACCGAATAACAATGCTTCACGATAAAATTACATCATTTTATTCAAATTTACTTAATTGAGACTAATATAACCGGTTTTTGACAGAAGAGGAAGTTTATATATATATACGATATATACTTTCGATTAGAATAATTATTATCAATATTAAAAATTTTGTTGTAAAATGATCTATGGTAAATTTTTCACATAAACATTTCCACAAATTTATAAATAACTATATCATTTATTGATTAAAAGACAAAACAATAATGTTCATATTTTTGATCGCGAGCGACGGCAATGATAAAATTTTTTTTCATTAAGAACTATAAATAAATATAAAGAATCAAGAAATAGTATTTTAGATAATAATAAGTTTTATCGTCAATGTCATGCAATGTTTATTAATTAATTCAAGCTCAATTTAGTGGAAAACAGTTCAAGACATTTATTAAATCTTTTGATCTTGAATAAACATACAGTGTACACATTAATTAATAAAAGAGTTAGTTACTTCCTGGAAAATATGTCACAATCACTAGAATAATATTCGTGCATCAGACATGATTAATATAAGTCATTGCTGAAGCAACTAATTTTCACGGACATTCGAATGCACTTGACAAAGTACTCGTATATGTCTCCGAAAGGTTTGCTGTATAAATCGATTAATGCTATCATAGATTATTAGTTAATAAAAATTTTTGAAATGCTAGTACTAATGTGTAATGCGAAAAAAATTGTCGCAAAAAACTAGGTCAATAATAATTAAATAAATTTTATAGTGATAAAATGCTACTTGGATTCTCAGACTTTACATTTATCTATCTAATTGATTTAATTATTTTCTCAGACTAACTATATTATTGGATATTAATTACTTCTGGTCATTGAACGAAATGGCCTTACTATTTTTGATTTTCTTATTACTTATTAACATTTACATAATTGGTGATTGTAATTATTAATTACAGAATTTTTATCTTTACTATAATTAAGCGATATTGAAAAAAAAAATTTAATAACTAACAATAGAAAATATAACATGAAAATATTCAAGGAATTTTTTAATAACGGCGGGGAGATGGTTCGTGAAATATGTAATTTCCGTTCAATAAATTTGATGGAAAAATAAAAATTCATATTTATTTATAATAATAAATAAATATTTTGCTTATTAAAACTGTATTATATAAAATTATTAATTTTTTATGACAGAGTAATAATCATAAATATAATACTCGCTCGTAGTCATATATAGTTTTAAACGTGGGTAATTATAATGGATTATTACTCAAGAGTTCTCCATTATACATAATAAATTTTAATGGTGATATTTATTGTCAGTAAGATATTATCACTGTCTCCTTACTACTTAAAGACTATTTGCATTCGCATTACTACGGATAATTATGTATAAACATATACATATATAGTTGTATACTGTACACGCGTATCAAATATTCACTTGATGTTGAAGTAGATATATGGGTCTTGATTTATGGTGAGACAGTTTTGAATGAAAAAGAACAAAACTAGGTAAAGTAGGTAGTAATTGAATTATACTGAAACTAAAACCACTTTTTAAGGGCCGATCACAATGACAGCGGGAAAAAATGATGCTTTGCGAGTGAACATCGGGAACGTGAGAGATATATCTTCGCATGTGCGATTAATTTTACGTATATGCGATTGTTTTTTTTTATTTTTTTCTGTTTTCATGTTATTGGTTATTAAATCACTTAATTTACCTTGAAGGACAGTCATTTTTTCGCAGTAAAATTAATGCAGGGTGACTCAGGAATTTTTTCCATGGAGACTGTAACTAATCGTGCAATGATCTGGCTCACGAAGAAAAAAATATTGTTAGTAAAGCCATCGACGAGATAGCTACTCGTAGATCGCTGCTACAGCGAAACGTATTCCTAGAGTAGCAATACTTTAGATGGTTAGAGGAGCTATACTACATTTTCCAATGGCACCATCTAACATCAAATTACATGCACTTATATCAATATCGAATAATTAAATAATAATATTTATACATAATAATTTCAAAATAATTTATAAGAAATCTATAGAAAATCACATTTATCAATTAAATAATTGGGTTTCACGGTTTCAAAAAATCGATTTTTTTTTTAAACTTTAAGTTTAACTTTTAAACTTTTAAACTTTAAACGCGTTTTTCTCAAAACTATATTTTCAAAGACGGTACCCACAATTTCTCGAGAACTACTCAACCGATCTTGATGAAATTTTGGACAGGTCTTCAAGACATAATTTATAAGGTCGTGAACAAAAGGTTTTTTTTTTTTTTTCAATTACAACTATTTAAAAAAAATAAGCTGTGAAATTTTAGCCAAATTTTTAATTTTTTTGTAAAAACCACTGCCAAAAATCCAATTTTCATTTTTTTTTCCTTCGTTCAAGACCTAGTTTGAAGTCTTAACTAAAGCACATATTTTTTTTTTTTTTACTTCAAATAATCCTGCTAAGAGTTCTGCTGATCACGCGGACGCATTTTTTTCCGAGGCCTCGCTGGAAATGACGTCACATTAGCAGAGTTTTTAATGTTTTTTTTTTTTTTTAAATTTCAGTAAGATAAAAGCCCCAGTACATGAATGAAAATTAATTTAGCAGATATTTTATAATTTTAAGAATTGTTTTAACAAATAATTAAATTATGTCAAAGAAAATGAGAAAAAAAAATTGTTATTTAGAAAATTAAAAAAATAAAAAATCTAATTTTTTAAAAATAACTTTACGGAGAAAATTTATTTATTAAAAAAAATTAAAAAATTGTCGAGCGACTGTTAACTTTAATGTCATATACATGATTATGTACCATGTCATATACGTGATCATCTATTGGGACTTTTACCTTAATCCCTTATTAAACATGTATCTATAACACAGTAAAAAGTTTGAATAAAATATTTCATTTTTTCTATTAAAAAAAAATTGTTGAAAATAGGCCATTTTTTCCGGAGAAAACCCATGTAAACCTTTAATTCGCGGTAAATTTTTATCTTCTTTTATTTTCAAAATTTAATTGTAAATTGTAAATTTTATGGTCTTTACGCCATCTGTGTTAACAAAATCTATATTAGGTAAGAAAGGTCGTCCTATCTCGCCGACAAAAATTTGACAGCAGCGCTTCGTGTGTTTGCGACGGTAACAATAACTCAATCGTCAATAAAATTTTATTGCACGTCTATGTGTATGTATTATGTATATTTTAATTGATAACAAAAATTGTTTTTCATTTAAATAATCTGAAAATCGTTCATTGTTGTGATTAAAAAAAATCTTTTCAAATTGGACTTGTTTCAATAGAATAATTTCTATCTATTTTTCCATTGGATCTGTTGTATTTATGCTGGAAGATTTTCTAGCTATTGGGTACATAGGTTAGTTTTCTAATATCAAGTTTATTTATTTAATTTTCTGTCAATATTATATAAAATAAATTATTAATAAAATTTTTAATTTTTTCATATTAAGTTGTTTAAAAAGTGATTTTTATTTAGTACTAATTTTATATTTTTTAGATAAAGCCTCAATAAAGATAGACGTCAGCTTTAATTTATTTATACCCAAAAAAAATTGTGGTAAAAGTAATAACAATGATAAAAAAATACTTTGTCGTAAGTTACTTTTTATTATTTAATAATATAAACAATATTTTTTAGTACTTGGATATAAATATTTTGCAGATAATTTGAGACGCTGGATATAATTTTGACAGTTGATCAAAATTTAGTAAATTATGACTAAAAACAATTCAATAAATAAGTTGGATCGTAATTATGACCAAACAAATGCAATATTACTTTCAAATCAAAGAAAACGACGATCAAAAAGCCAAGTAACCTCAAATAAAACTCAAGAGGCGTCAATAAAAAACGGTATTAAGCCGCGGATTTCGACAAGACGAAAAAAATTGTGTGAACCATCAAAATTGCCCGCTTCGACCGGCAATCCACAAACTGTCATAAACTTATCATCCACGGAAACAACAACTGACTCTACAAGTACTATTTGTAAGGAAAAATTTCTCGACAAATTGGATTTACACGTTAAGCCCAAGGTCAAAATATCTAAATTTTTCACTTGTGATTTTTGCGACGAGGACTTTTTAACTCAAAATTATTTAAATTTGCACGTACTTCGGGCGCATAAAGCCATAATAACCTGCAAACAAACATCAAAATCGCGTAGCAATTTAAATAAAACAAAATCAACATTACGCGAAGTTCATCGTTATGTTTCTTTACGTCAGCGTTACGAAACAACAAATACGCAACTGAGCAAATTCAATACCCGATTCGTCTCAAAGGTTTCAGAGGAACGTAAGCGGCGTAGGAAGTTGTTCCGGGAACATATTCAAGTTAATAAATCCCAAAATAAATCAACTGACTCAAGTACAAAAATGTCTGAAGTTGAAGATAAAAGTAATCTGCAAGTGCCGACGTCTACTGTTGAGATTGATGAGTCTTCAAAGGACAATACAGCTGACAGTCCAACGTCAACATCAGATGTCAACGAGTATAAATCCGAAAGTAAGCGTTTGATTAATAAATTCAAAGAGTTTGTACGATCAAATGGTGACGTAATTAGTTTATCTACTATAAAACAAAAAAATGATTCTAATGAAATTCTATCTCTGCTATCTGATGATAATCAGACTTCTGAATCGCCTGATAGAAAGTCTAAACAGCGTAAAGTCGGCGATAATTCAATAGGATTAAAATCTCCGGATAATGTTTCAGAATCACCAACAGCGACGATTCCTCCTAGACCTGAGAAACCCAAAACGTACAACAGAAAAAAGAGTCCGAAGGCTAATAAAAAAAATACAAAGGATCATGGGTATTGCGATTCGTGTACCAGGTCGTTCGCCAAACTGGATACCCATTACCAAAGTGACATTTATGGAACTAGGAAGATAAAATGCGAATTTTGCAGTAATAAATTTGTGTCTGTCAATGGATTATTTCGGCATGTTGCGCTTTATCATTTAAACTGTACTTGTATAAGAAATAAATGTCATTGGTACGATCCATTTACTGCTGACATTAACCAACTTAGCTCAGCTGCTGTGAGTAAAAATTATCGCTGTAATTATTGCTCAAAGGACTACGATGACTACAAAAAGTACAATTTTCACTACTACAGTTTCCATGAACTCGAGCCGGTTTCAGATGAACTGGTTGAAAAGACGCCAAAGTATCTGAAGGATATCGACAATAATGTTATAATTAAATCATGGGTACCCAGTGCTTGCAAGACTAATTTCTTTGGTAAAAAACTAAACAGCGGTGAGTGTGATGAAGATTATGATAACACTGATTTTGACACTGGAGATTTCTTGCCTCTAGTTTGTCAAAAATGCGGGGAATTTTATTTTAACAATAAGGACTATATGATTCACTTGGACAATTGTTATTACCAGCTTGACTTGGCACCAGTTACGCCATTGACTGAGTACCCTAAAGAGTCTAGAGCAGTTGAAGAGCTCAGAGAGTCTAGTCTTAAACCAGAATCGAATCAAAATCGACGGGTTGACGTCGCAGTGAAGCCCAATATTAAATTGCAATTCTTCCCTCAAGATATTAAAGCTAAACCAAGGAATCCCAGGAAATTAGATGCTAATTATGAATTATTACGCAGAACTTGTCGTCGGTGTAACAAAGCTTTCGCTACTGTCAAAGAACTTAGTATACATTATCAAGATATTCATGGAAATAGTGCGAATAATAATAATAATAATGCTAATAATAAAAATAATAACGCTGGTGCAAAAGCAAAGGGTGACGAGAAAGATGATCCAGCCAGTTATATTACGAAAACTAAAAAAGACTACGACGATGAAAATAATATTACTTATTACAATTATAAAAATACACCGTGGTATGGACACAATGTTCGTCATAAATGGCAATGTGTTCATTGTAAATTATCATTCAAAATATTCCGAGCTTTCAGCAATCACTTATTCTTTGAACACAATGACGAATCGTTGATACACATTTGTGAAAATTGTCATGAAATTTTGACTAATTTGGACCAAATTAATAAACATTTATGTGTGAATGTTACTTCCTGGACTTGTAAATTGTGTGACCTGAAATTCCAATCAGGATTTGAGTTCCGGAATCACAATACCCAAAAGCATTATGAACTTTTTGAGCCGAGTGTCTGCTTGGCTTGTGGTAAAAAATTTTTGACTCATTATATGTTGATGAGACATGTGAAAAATAAGAAATGCTCGTCAGAGAAAGCGATTGACGAATTAATCAATACATACACCAAAAAAAGCAAGAAAAATGATTCTCTTGCTCCTCAAAAGACTCCGCCTGAAAAGAAGAAAGGAAACAAGAAAGATGATGATGATGATGATGATTGTATCATTATTCTCGATGAGACTGGTGATAAAGTAGAATCAAGTGAGATTGAGAATAATGCTGAAGATGTGGCTGATGTAGTTTTTGAATTAGTTGATTGCTCTGCGGACAATTTTGCATCCGAATTGGAGTCAGATGTAGATTCGAGAAAGACTGATGTACTTGCTACGGCTAGTGTAGCGGAAGAAAAGACAGATGTGGTTAGTGATAAAATAGAAGAGACGAAGAAACAAGTTCCAGATACTGAACGTGAATCTGTGAAAGAATCAATTGAAGAAACTACGAACGACGATGATACTGTTGCTGAAGAAGAAGGTTTTGATGACGCGTCCATGGATGATGACTCTCCAATAGAAGACACTAATGATGAGGATTCGGATGATGGGTCTGAAGATGATGACGATGAGGAGGATGAAGACTTGGATGACGAAGATCTCGATGACGAAGAGCTTGATGACGAGGAATTTGATGATGATGAATCAGTAGATGTCCAAGACAGCGATGATTTGAAGAAAAGTGAAAATAATTATAATGAGTTGGTTAAAATCAATGATGATTGCAGCAAAATTGTTGATTTTAATGAAGACACCTATGATGAATTGGAAGGAATAAAAAATTACGTATTAGAGAATGAGAAAAACTTGCCGGATTCAGCGAGTAATAAACGGAAGATAACTGATGAGTCTCTGACAAATAAGAGGAAAAAATTATTAGATATTCACGATACTTTTGTTGCTCAAGCTGATCAGTTGAATGATAAGGGAAAAATAAAAATCAAGGAAAGTGTAAATAGATCCGCTAAAACATCACGTAAACCTCCGGGTCAAGTCAATCGTTGTAGCATGTGCAAATTACAATTTTCATCGATGACCTTATTGAGCAATCATTTCAACCGGAGTCATACCTCTGCTGTTGAAGTATGCCAGCTTTGTTACAAAATGTACATCACGGGTAATCTAGTGAAGCACATGGTTAAAGATCATTTCAGATCGGACACTGACCTGGCTGATGCACTAGTAAGTACGAAGGACGAAATAAGTATCGAAAGAGATACTAGAGACTTTATCAGCATAGTTGGAAAGGTTCATTTACTAGCGCTCTGTAAGTATCAAGAACCACCGCAAGCCAGCAGTGAAGAGTCAGTTGATTGCTCAGACTGTTCGCTGACGTTTAAAAATTCTGACAAATATCGGATTCACAATGTCGAGGTTCACGATAAATTTTGTGCGCTTTGTATCGTCAAGTTTCGCAGTGGTCAAGAAGCGGCTAAACACAAGTTGGATGTTCACGGCTCGACGGCCTGCTACGTCTGGTTCGCGAGTAAGATGATAAATGCTATTGGTGATACTGATACTTTCAAAGAAGCTGTTGGGTTGAAGGCTAAAAAACGTAAACCCAAAAATTCTGATCAAGGTAATAGTCACAAAAATAAGAATAGGAGTGTAAGCAATAGTAGGAATATTAATATCAATGTGCGTAGTAATATTAATATTGACGACAAAGTTAATCTCAATATGATTGATAATATGAGTGTTAAGCAAGAAAGTATGACACTCAAGGATAAAATTTTGGATATTCTACGGAAATCCCAGCCCACGTTGGACCGACTCAATTCACAGATTCAGACAACTCGTACCCAACCGGATGACAAGCAGATCAACAAACCTCAAACTGTTCGCCAATGTGGAAAAGAAAGCCATTCAGAAGAGGCGTTAAACAATATTTTAAATGTAGAAAAGCCCCAGATGATGATTAAAACTCCAGTGAGAACTGATAAATCAACAAAATTAAATATAATTCCACCAAAAATCGACTCTCATCAGTCACCGGCGGTTAATCAAGTTACAATAAAAAATAAAAAAGTTGAATCATCGATCGCGAATCAAGTATATGAAGCCAGTGATGACCAATCGATAATTATTACTTGTGGTTTGTTGAAAAAAGATGATGGTCAGGATGGTAGTTATGATAGTAATGAAGATGAAAAACAGTTTCTTATAGTGGTTAAAAGAAACGATCTTGAAAAATATAGAAATAATTTACATGAGTTAGCAGCACAGTTTGTCGCATCTACGAACATGTCTACGGAAGAAATGGTTCGCTTATTAAAAGCAGAATTGGACAATATATAAAATGTATATTATTGAAGTATTTTTAAAGACAATGTCTAACAATGTTTAATTGTTACTTTTTAAGTGATGATAATCTTCTATATGTTTAAATGAGTTTTTCTTCACGACACTTATTCAATCTATCTCATTATTTTAATGACATATTGAATATTTTGTGTAGATAGAGTTTGAATAAAGATTATTTCGAAAAGATTCATTTTACTTTTATAAATGACGTAAATGATTATATTTTTAAGTAGTTGTAATTATTGAAAAATTTGATAATTATCGTTGTAAGAGTACTATATATAAGAGAGAAATGTTTGGCAAAAATATTTGTTCACTCACCATCGGAACATGTAGATTATTTGATACTTTCTGAAACAAAAATAAAAATTGATTTTTATATTAATCAACTTATTTATTTATTTTAATATTAGTCAATTTTTGCTACTAAAATACCTTTTCAGCTGGCAGTTGAGCAGAAGCAGGACGGAATCCTCCAAAAATTTCTTAACGTATCGAACAGAATGACACACTTTACAGGTAATTAACTCACTATGACACTTCTAGAATACAAAACAAAATTATTTGATTTAGTTGCTTGTAATTCATTGATAAGTATCATAAACTTTTGAACGCCAAGATAACTAGGATCATCATCACGTGAATTAAGTATTGATAATGTAATAAAATAATTTAATTTATTCATGACTAGTTTCAATAATTAATTATTGGTAGAATTTTAAAATATTATTTGCAGTACTACACAGTAAAGCTTATAATTATACGTGAATTATCTTGATATTAAAGTCAGCTGTCATTTAATAATTTTTTAATTTTATTTATTAAAGAAATTTTTTCTGAAAAATTGTTTTTAAAAAATTTCATTTTTAATTTTTTAAAATTTCTACATGCCAATTTTTTTTTTCTAATTTTTTTTGCACTAATTTATTTCTTTAAAAAATTATTAAATATTTGCTACTTTAATTTTCATGAATTATCAATTTGAATCTCAGATGACTAAAATGTTAGCTAACTTTTAGATCATTCGAAAATATGATATCTTAATTAGTAGACATCTGTCAAATCTTTAACTTTATTTAAAACATAAATTCATGCATGAAAAATTTTTATAAAACTGCAAATATTTAAAGTAAATAAGAATGATGACATTAAAATTAACTGTCACCTGACCAATTTTTGATTTTATTTAAAAATTAAATTAATTTTAAAAAATTATTTTTAAAAAATTGCATTTTTAATTTTTTAAAATTTCTACTTGTCTATTTTTTTTTCTTATTTTTTTGCCATAATTTATTTGTTAACAAAAGTTCTAAAAATTATTAAATATCTTCTAAATTAATTTTCATATGAGAATGATATTGCAAAATAAAACTAGATTGATGATTCTTTTACATTGTTCATCACATCATATGATTATAAAACATTTTAATCAGGACTCTGATACTCACTTTGTTTATTTCTATCTACCAGTGTATAATTAATTAATTTATAACATTAAAATTAGCAGTCTCTGGACAATTTTTAATTTTATTTAACAAAAAACTTTGTTCCAAAAAATTATTTTTAAAAAATTCGAATTTGTTATTTTTTTTTATTTCTAAATGTCAAATTTTTTATAATTTTCTTTTGCCGTAATTTATTTGTTATGAAATTCTTAAAATTATTAAATATGTGCTAAATTAATTTAAAATAAAAAAAAAGTGTCTGCTGCTTTTGCTACAAAATGAAAAAATATTCAATATTCGACTCAACTTCTCGCTTACTAGCGGCTTCTCGTAACGGCGAAATTCAAACACTGAACTTCGATACAGCCGCCATCTTACTGAATTAGAGCTAAGACTTTATTCTCGAGCACTGGCGTCGCGGCGATCGCAGTAGTAGCTGTTGCTAACTCGTTTCCCGTATTTATATTCCTTTCTCCAGTTTATAAAAAATAAAAAATATACATGTTTTGATCAAACCATTGTTCTCAACTTCACCGCAAAACAGCCCGAGCTAACATTGGCAACACAGCTGGGTAAATTGGCAACTCTTTATTGTTCAGTTAAGTTTAAGTCAGTCTTGATTGACCCGTCGATGGTTAATGTCTGTTGGTGATTGTGGTGGGTCTGTTGGTGTCAGTTGATGTTGATCTGATAATCATAAAAGTGGATACCTGATTCCTCATCATTCAGCACCAGCACCAGTATTCAACTTCAAAAACTCCTTTTCCTGATTGATTCGACATTTGACATCAAATTTCTCTTACAACATTAGAATAATCAGAGCCTGATTATATTATATACTAAATAATTGAATTTCTACCAGGTAAACATGGCTTCAGATGACTGTAGTACAAAAAAATTAAAATTAAGTAATTCATCTGGAAAAATGTCAACATCATTATCTAATCGTATCAGCGGTACGGAAAATCCATCAATAGTGCATCCTGAGATGGCCTTTTACTGCTTCGATGTAGTCTACTGTCAATTGAACCAACTCGACCCACCGAAGGCTCCCAATTTCAGCAACGAACCATTGTAATTTTTATTTATTTATATTAATATTAATTAATTGATAATTAACCTGTTTGTAATTTGTAAGCTTTATCTTAAATAATAATCGCCATCTTGCGCTCTGTTTCGCTTTGTTTCCTACTCGACTCACGACCTCTATACATTTTCTTTGTTTAGCATCTTGATGTTGTTTTCATTATTTACGGTACATATTTACTATATTTTTCAAGATTTGCTCAATGCTTCTATGATTTAATTTTTCTAACTTAATTGTCAAGTTTTTTCAATTTTTAATATCAATAATCGATATTTGTCATTGCAATTTGATCTAGATAAAGCATGACCTTGATGAGTAAATAATTAATTGTATTTAATATGATTTTACAGCCCGATTTTCGTCACCTGGATGATTGGGAAAGAAATGCGTCTACGTGGGTGCATTGGCACTTTCAACGCTATGCAATTACACTCAAGTCTGCGTGAATATGCTGTTACGAGGTCTTAATCTATTATTTACTTTTTTATTTTAATTATTATGAGATAATTAATCTATGAGTAAGTATAGTTAATTGTTATGGTATTATTCATCAGTGCCTTCAAGGACTCACGTTTCAATCCAATAACACGTGACGAATTACCACGTTTACACGTAAGTGTATCAATTTTACTTCATTTTGAAGACGGTGCTGATTACTTAGATTGGGAGTTGGGTGTCCACGGTATCTTTATTGAATTTTATAACGAGAAAGGAAATAAACGTACTGCTACTTATTTACCCAGCGTTGCTGAAGAACAAGGTTTGTTTTTTTTTTTTTTTTTTTTATTTAATTTAAATGTTATAATGATTAATTGACAAGTAAAATTTATTTTTATTAAATTTTTTTAAAAAGTAATTTATTTAAGGGGTTAGGGGTTGTCAAAGACATGAAAAAATGAGAATTTTCAATAATTTTTTTTTTACCAGTAAATCATTTTATTTTATAAAAGTTATTACTTTTATAAAATAAAATAATATGGCATCATTACTCAATGTTTTGACTTGACTTCACGAAAATTAAATTCAAAAGTTATGGCTGTTTGTGTTGACCCAGTTCCAAAAAAGGTCCTTGTGGTGACCATCATAAATCCTTGGAGATTCATATAAAATCAATCGGACAAGAAAAAATGGTTTTATTAATAGATAATCTATTGCCTGATCGAAGCTTTTTTTTTTTTGAAAATGGTCCTCAGGAAATGGCGGCCTCAGGAAATTTTTCTCTAGATTTTCGGGAAAAAACCTACAGTTAATTGTTTATAAAAAATCGAAATTTTTGAAAAAAGAAAAATCCTTCGATCCGACACGAGTTTTTTATGTTTTCCAAAAGCTGTATAAGTGTCATTGAAATCGACTGAGCGGTTTTCGAGTTACAGTGGTCACCAGTTCAAAAAACATAGTTTTGAGAAAAACACATTTAAAGTTTTATACTATAGAGAGCTACCTGCTCTTGAGCGTTCTGGAGTGCCCGAGCGCCCTTTGTTATTTGTCAAATAACTTGAAAAGTATTTGTCGGATTCACTTAAATTTTTCAGAGAATATTTTTAAGATATTATACTTAAAGAAAATGCAAAAAAAAATCGATTTTTTGAAAATCTTGACTACCCCTAACCCCTTAATAAATTAAAAGTAATAAAATAATTTTTAAAAAATAGAACTAATTACATTTTACCCGTGCATTGAACAAATAAATTTACAATGATTAAATTATGCTGAAAGGTTGGGATAAAATTCAGACAATAGACTCATTGCTTCACAAAGGAGGATATAGAGGTTCAGTGACACCAGACTTAAGACGTAGTTTGAAATTGAAACGATATCAATGCGAAAAAATAACAGTTAGTTATCAAGATTATGTAAGTCATGTGAACAATAGACGTTGCTAACAAATGGCTAAGAAATGAGAATCTATTGCTATTCAACTACCCTCGCCTTTATCCACCAACAACAAAAATATTTCAAACAATGGAAATGAAATCATCAATGTGAATAGCAATAATTATCAATCGTCCCAGGCGTTAAATTGTCGCAGCTACAATTATTTGACTAAACGTCGACAACGAGCGTTAATATTTCATCAAAATGATTATTCATATCAAAAAATGACGTTATTGGCACCATCAGTTGTACCTCCAGCAATGCAACAGTTTTATCCTTGGTGGAATACACTTTGTCTTAATTCAACGAATTATTATTATTATCATCATTACCCGAGTATTCATTCATATATAAGAAATAACACAGATTATTATTCACATAAAGACAGTAAAATGGGCCGCAATTACTTTTAATTACTTTCATTTTTATTTTTAAATGGTGCCTAGACTAATCAAATTTAACGTTAATTAACATACGTTGTTTCAGACACTTATTAAGAATTAATTGTCATTGTTACTGATAACAAAGTAATTTTATTAATAATTCAAACATCTCTGTGTGTTTTAATAATCGTTAATTAATCCTTACTACAATTTTGTGTAATCTAATTGTTTATGTGCTTTCAAAATTATTGTTCCTGAATGAATATTTTAATTTTGCTTTTGTTATTATTATAAATCTTTTGATTTTCATTTGAAATTTAAGTTTGAATAATTAAATTACTTAAAACTATTATTGATATTCTCTAACTTTGTTTATTTAGTAATAAATAATTTTTTTACTTGTTATTGATTAACAAAATTAATACAAAGGTTTTTGTTAATAAATTTGATTTTTCTATTTAGTAAGAAGTCTGAAAATCGGTTAAAAATGTCACAAGTAATTTATTGTATTCATGAATAATTACCTAGATTAATAGTTTATTATATATTAACTATTATTAATCTTATGACAATGAAAAGCGGCAAATTTTTTTTTTTTTTTTTTCAATTAACAAATCAGATTTCAATTTCATGATAGCTATTTTTCTGACATTGATTTGATTACATTAACATAGAACATTATTAATATAATATAATTGTGGTGAACCAGCTTGTTTAAAATTTCTGGCTATTTAATTACAAAGATAATGTAAATTAATTATTAACTATGAATTATTATTATATAATAATGAGAGACATTAATGTCGATAATGAACGAGAAGATCTCATTGTGATTTAAAATGAGTGTGATTAAATAAAAGGGACGAAAGCTCGGATCTATTAAAAAATTATTAGAGATTGAATAAGTATAAATAAATGAATAAGGTAAAAAACCAAGTTATTGACACTGGCCTAGTTGTTTGACACTTGGAATTTCATTCTAATAAAAAAAAATAAAATGTTCTCAAAAAACCAATTATCTTAAAATTTATAATTCAAAAATTATATTTATTAATTTATTAGAGTCGATTTGTTTTTTTTTTAATTAAAATAAAACTGCAAGTGTCAATAACTCGGCCAGTGTCAATAATTGGGTCTTTTACCTTATAAACTTAAAAGTAATTACGAGGTTTTATCTCGTTTGATTAAAGAATAAAATAAACTAATAAATGTTTAATATTTAAATAATGTATTGGTGCGTAAAATCTTAAAATTAACTTAAAATATAAGAACGTTCTATATTAGATCGTCAAGTAATGTACTTTAATTAAATTGAATAATTATAATATTATTAGAGTATATTAACGACACATTTATATTGGTTAAGTATTTGGCAGTTTAACCAGACGTTTTATTAATATTTAAATATCAATATTGCCTTTCATAAACTTTTTGCTTTCATTTACTTAGAGCAGCTTTCTGCCCATTCAGCTTTGTTGCTGATGTTTTTTTCACTGCCGTATTAGTATAATTAATATTATCAATTATTAATCAATATTAGATTTAATTAGAGCGAAACAAAAAAAAAAACTTGTAATCGTTACCTATAGCTAATTTTATTAATTGTTGAGATCTCGATTTATGATTTCAGATAAGCAATAAAGTCTAAATCATTTATACAAAGTGCCCAATTAACTGCCAATGCTTGATAAAATTGTTATTTAATATTTAAATAGTGCAATTTAGTTGAAATTCCATTCAGATATTTTTAATTCAACTTCATTAGCTCAAAAAGTGTGTCGTAAATTTATAATTGTTATAAATTATCAATATCAAACTTCCAATCGCTGTCTGTGTTGAAATAATTTTTTACGTTCAAATAAATATCGAATTTGAAGTAATATAATTCATTTTTTTTCTAACTAAATATTTAAAATTTTACAAACTTTCAGCAAATGTTTATCTTTGATCAATTTTAACAAAAAATTAATGGGCTTTATTGGAATATTCATATCCATTGTTTGCTTATGTAATATCTATATTGTAAGACTAGTTTGTTTGTTTTTGGCGTATTTAATCTTATAAAAAATTCTTGAATTAATATTGATTCTATTCTGTTCAAATATTAAGTCTAATAAATATTTTAATTTAATTATTAGTACGTAAAAATAACAACTAAATATATTTATTGTACAATAATAATTGAATTCTACAATATTTGTATTAACTTTAGCAATTAACAGAATATTTTTGTATGAAGGAAAAAAAAGAACTTTTATAACGATGATAACACTTTTCACATACTTAGCAAATTTATAAATTTCTTCTTTGACAAGCGAGAGCAGATATTGGTTTTAAAGAAAATATGTTAGTTATATTAATATTCTAAGTCAAGATTTCGTTGTTAAATAATGAAAGGTTAAAACTTAATTTATTTTTAAGGGAAAAATTTATTATTCAAGTACAAAAGAGATCAATTATAATGATGTAATAATTAAAATAGAATATTACATTATTTTATGATAAATATATTGATACGTCCTCAGTAAGGTTAATGTCAAGTAATGCTATTACTCGATAATTTAATTCTTGTAATTGAGTGAAAATATTGATTATTGCAATATGCGAGTAGAATTGAATCAACTGAAAATTAATTTCAATGGATTTATTTACGAGTTATAAATACGCCTTTAAAAAAAAATTTAAGGTTTATAATCTCAATAATTAAATAAAGTATTTAGATCCACCTAATTTTATGTATTAAATATAATAATTAGTCAAAAATTATAATTGATTATACGACGAAATATATTGTGCCTATATGTGAGATTTTAATTATTTAAATGTGAACTTAAATTTAAAAACAAAATTAAAATATATGATATTAAAAAAAAATTAAGTGCAAATAAACACTTGTGTTGAGTAAATAAATTCAAAAAATTTTTTATTCTAAAATGCATTTAACAAAAAATTACTTTAAGTCATTATCATTAATAATAACTAAATAACACTAATAGGAAAAATTTATTGCTTGAGTTTTTTTAACTTTACACTTTCTTCTTTATGTAACTGTTCAGCAAACTTTAACAATTTCATTCTAACTGTTTGTATTGACATTGCTTCTTTATACGTAATAAAACCAGCAGCCAAAATATTAACAGCCGTCAGTATAACTAATTTTACACGGAGTGGTTTCAAGAATTTAATCCATAATTTAAAAATTTCTTTCCCGTCAGCAAAGTAGGGTAGTCGGTAAGTTCCAATTCTTGCTGCTAGCTAAAGTATAAAAAATCATTAATCAGTAAGCTAATTACTTAATTGATTAAAAAAAATTTTAATTACTTACGAAAAAATTAGCCAGAGGTGCAGCAATACTAGGATATATGATTGCAGCTCCAGTTTGAATAAAAGTTGCTCTTGTTTCAACACAAAGTGGGCATGGTGTTGTATTTAAAAATAAATCCTGCATTACGAACTGAAAAAAATTAAATATATAGATTAATTAGTAAAGAGTCATTGAATGAAAAGTACAGTTAATGTCATCATTCACAGATTTAATTGATTAAGTATTCAATTTTTATTGACATAAAACTTTAATCTGTGCATGATGAGGATTGTCATGACCAAAAAAGTAGCAGACGTCCAATTATTTTAATAACATTTAAATAAGTTATGTAAGATAATAAGCAAATATTATAATAATGTATATGTATGACTCGAAAATTAACAAACATTTGATGACTTATAGGACATTTATTCCAAATAAATTATGTGTGAAAAAAATTTTCACTCGTAGAAATTAAAGAAAAATAATTTTTGAGTCATAATTTATTTTTTGTTAAATAAAATTAAAAAATCTCAAATGTCTGCTGATGTCAGTAACATATAATAAAATGTACACATCAAATAATTCATAAAAAAATAAATTGTTTACAATGAAAAAGTTCATGATACTGAAATTAACAGACACTTGACAATTTTTTTACTTTTCCTGAAAAATAAACTAAATTTAGAAAACTATTTTTAAAAAATTGCATTTATAATTTTCGAGATCCTCTAAAGAAGGAATTTTTTAAACATATTTTTTTTCCTGTAGTTTATTTGTTAAAAAAATTCTAAAAATCATCAGACGTCTTTAAACTTTAGTATCATAAAAGTTCTTAAATGGTCGCTTCATTCTGTCATACTTTTACTATCATAAATAAATAAAATATTACTCCAATATGTGGAGCCGTTGCAAAAATTGTTGCACCCGTTGCACTAGTAATCTGAGTTGCTATCACACCCTGGTTTCGTAATTTAACTTTTAATCTGAAATGGCGATTTATCACCAACGCTGAGCAAGCGGCTAAGCCAGCGAGTAATGGAACTCCGACTTTGAACGGCCATCTATTTAGATTAAACAATTAAAAAACAAAATTAAATAAATCCGCAGCTTGCTTAATTCATAATTTAATATTTATTTTTTAAATTAAACAAAAAAAAAACTGCGTAAGAATATTTACACATCACGAAAGTGAGGCCATTCTTTAATTTGCCGGTACTGATAAGCAGCGGCCTCAGTTCTGTCAACTTGGATCGCACCTGGGGGTACACTTCCAATAGAAGGTTGTAATGCCATTGTATATAAAATATTAAATTAATTAAAAACCATCCAAAAATATTTGCATAACCTCACTATTATTAAAAAACAATTTATACAACAGCGGCGATAAATTTTAAACTTGCGCGCACCTTTTCTGCGCAATCTCACCTCACGCGCATGGATGCGAGTACGCGTGCGCGTTATTAGAAGACCCTAAGTTATAAAGACGGTTGGAAGATGGCGTGATACTTATCAGTCGACCGCTAGTGACGCTTTGCGTACGTTCCAGAAACACTTTTGAATTTCCCCAGTAGTTTTTGCTCTAGATTTGTTAATACTCGACAGATAAACGCGAATAATTGTAGGTAGTGTTATTATATAGGGATGATTTTGACAGACGCATTCTACAAACCACCACGGGGTCGTAGCGTCGTCGTATGACGTCACAAGACGCAATCGACCAATCACACTAACCGGGAGTCAGTTTTCCGGCTGCTCTAAACTCGCGCTTACGCCATATTGCCGTGGTCGTGGTGTGTGTTTATGTATTATATTGTTATACTTTAATGTTAATTATATTTATCCGGATTGTTTAACGTGTAAAGTCCGTTTACGGTTGATTAATTCCTTATTTAATTATTAAATGTATTTTTTTCGTTTATTCTACGTGCTTCAGTATTTGTGACACCAGTGTTTTTTTTCTTCTCAGTGTAACGTGAGCTTTAATTGTCAGTATTTTATTTTAAGGCAATTATATTCATACATAAATACAGTCCTGATAAATTGACACCGCGCGAATAGAAGACCCTTAAATCTAAGGCCCTATATTCACGCGGCGTGATTGTAAAACGTTATTCACGCGCAGTAAATTTATCAGGAGTTTTTTGTGTATGAATAGTGACTCCTTTTATTTTACCAAAAATTTGTTTATTGGTTTTAATTTTTTTTTTTTATATTGTCATCACAAATTAGTAATAAAATAATAAGTAAATAATCTAGGAGTGAGTGATTTTAAGTTCGCGTTCAGCAATCGAGCTGTCATTGTCATCATCTGATCAGCCCTTGGTAATTGTCACTGGAGTAAGCTGCGACAATCAGCTGAGATGCCTGTTCGTAAACAAGGTGGTAAGCTCATGAGATAATATTAGAAATTATAAGTTTATTATTTATTCTTATTATTATTATTATTATTATTATTATTATTATTATTGTTGTTGTTATGATTATTATTGATTTTATAATTATTATTATTCCATTGAAAATTTTCTCTTTTGATTTGGAGATAACCGCTGGGTAAAGTAGATTTCAACCCCTGGAGTTTGCTCCAATTCATTTGAGGTCACTCGGTCATACAGCTGTATTGCAATTACAAGTATATAATAACAATACCGTACGTTAACACAACTCAATTTGATCGGATGTAAATTGTGTATGTGTACGAGAAGTCGATATCATTTATTAGGAGTTCTTTTGGCGATCGTCCTTGTCATTTTGCCCTCGAGACAGACGAGACAATCAGTTTTATGTCCGTTTACGCAACCCAACATTGTTCTTCTGTCATCGCACCGACATGTTAGTTTCCCGAGCAGTCTGCTTTATTAATGTAGGCCAAGATTCTGTTGCAATAATATCTGAATCCATAGATATATGAGTAGAGCGAATTGTCTCTGGATAAATGCCAAGCAAATGTTATAATTTCAGTCCTGGCACGACAGTCTTTGATCATTTTTTAAAAAGTTTATGATTTAATCATTTTTTAATATTTTTCATGGCTACAGCTATTATTATTTATTTAATTATTCCATTTTTGACTAAACAAATTGATTGATATTTATTTACACGCGGTATATATATAAGCTCATTTGTTAGTTTTATTTTTATGATTTTCTCATCTATAAATATAATAGGACGGTATTTTTATAGAAATTATTTCATGCAGTCTTGTACTTTGTTTTTCAAGCGTTAATGATTATAAAAAATCGATAGATTGGTGATACGAAAAGAATTAACGATTAATAATTTATAATATGTAGACCGTTATTTTTTTCATTATACATAACAATATAATTAAAAAAAAAAATATCGTACGTGTTTGAAAAGCTTGATAGTTTGATAGTAAAAATAAAATTTTTTATTAATGTCAGCTGAAAGATTATAAGCTTGATATGAAAAATGCTTAGGTTAGCGGTGTTTATATCTGAATGCCGCAGTCATTTGACCCTATCATCGCGTGTCTTAAAAAATGTATAATAGCACTTGAAAGATTTCAGTCTCTATATATTAAGTGTCTTCTTTGTAATTCTTTATATTATCTAGCGCAGATTAAGATGTAGACAATAGACTGAGTAGAGATATGTGTCAAAGTATGAATTTAAAAAGGTTAATCTTTTGTCACTGATTTAAAAAACAAAATATTCTTATTTTTTGTTCAAGTTTTCATCACAATAATAATAATAATAATAATAATAATAATAATAATAATAATGATTATTATTTTTATTTTATGGTGACCATGTTCGAATGACAAATGTCAAATTTGATGATTAAAAGTAACGTGATGAAAAGTGGACTCCAATTTTGTTGGACGCTGGACAGCCGCGGATTCGGTGATGTCATTTACATACAAATGGTTCGGTAGATTTTCAGTTTCGGTGTGTACACGTGGATTCACGCAACCGCGTGTGAACAATTGGATTCATAGTATGATTGTGGTTAGGACTTTACACATGACACATTGAATTATTGCAATATTCATGGATTCATTGACCAATGACAGAGAATAATTGACAAATAGCTCGTAGTACAGTCTATTTTTACTTTTATTAAGTTTCGAATAATTACAAGAATTTTATTTTTTTTTAATTTTTATTATCATTCTACGCTCTCTGTAAATTCCGTATTCAATTGATCAATTTGATTAACTTTACTCAATTAAACGCTTTTATTTGGTGGGAACACATTTTTTTAAATCGAAAAAAGTAGAAATAACAGATTTCGTTCCGACATTTTAGGAATAATACTTTTTTACTTTACCATAAAATTAATGAATACTAAACAATCTAATCATTGATTGATTTTAATGTTTTTTAATAGTGTAATAAATTTATTATTGATGATTTTAATGAATCTTGACGGTTATACACCAGTTAAATCGTTATATTACATATGAATAAAAATTTTAACTGACGATCCCTAATACTTACCTAGTTGGCTACATTGGCTTAAACCAACGCCTTGTAATAAAAAAAAAAAAAAAAAAAAATACTTACCTAGGTCTTACTGAAGAATCGAGGGTATAAATGAAATAAAAAGATAGATAAATAATAAATAAATAAAAAAGCCATGAGAAAAATAAAAAAAGAAAAAGAAGCCTATGTCTTTTTGCCGTGTCAGAGCTTTTTATATTTCGCTTCCGTTTTCTCACCGTCACCCTGTCGGAAATTGATTCCCAATCATTTTCTTGCCTCAAGGAGTCATCTCCCCTTGTTCAAAAAAAAAGAAAATAAAATAAAATAACCTCCAGAAATATATCTATCTATACAAGAAGAACACAGATAAAAGAAAAAACCGTCTAAAGATGCAGCTAACGCGGCGACCAATATCTCGTTTCCTATCTTCCTACACACCATACTAATACACATTTATTACATCCTCGAGATCTTTGATACGGGATAGGCTCAATGTCATATACGGTGTCATGCTATCGTTTCGAGATGACGAATTTAATGCGACCCCAGCTTGGAAATGGTGCCAGAATATACTAGACTGAAGAGAGGTATCCAGTCCCCCAGTCGTTCAGTTCTGGCGAGCAGAGAGAAAAAATGAGAAGTATAAAGATGAAAGTGAAAATAAAAAATAGAGTAAACTAGTCTACTCGTGTTCTCCAAGATTTAAAAGAGTATAAGCCGCAGTTCGCATTTCAGCTTTCGGCTTTACCAACCTATTTCCATTTCCAAGATTTTGCTTAACCAACGCGCATGCATCTTTAAACTCTGTGCAAATGTATTTCCGTTCCATTCATGCATATAATTTAAATATACATCATCACAACATGAACTCGTCTGCGCGTACATCTATGTTTGTATTCAGATAATACAATGTCTCATATTGAGTAAACATCCATATGTATGGTTACATTTATTTTGGATTAATGTTCCGCGCATACACATTCGGTATTCCATAATATCATACGCTCTCATTCTCTTTACCTTGTACCAATATGTATATGTATGCGAATATGATAACATTAAGCGTGGTAATGTTGATGTTGTTGTTGTTGTTGATGTTGATATTGATGGTTTATATAGAAGCAAACACAGTGTCCTATGAGAAAGGCGATAAATTTCCCGTTGGAATATATGTATTCAAGTTTGGCGAACGATCAACTGACACGTTCGGCAACCGGTTTCAAGCACTAATGGTTTTACTCGGATCTTCGCTTCCTCGACACTGCACTAGACTAAACTCCACTTTGGGCATACCCTGCTAAACCAACGCTCGCCATCGGTGCTTACAGAATCAACCGCTTCCAAAATCACCATTACATAAAGTTCCAACAGCAGTAATAGTACCGGCAACCGTCCACGAACAACAGCGTCCAAGAGTACTTGAACATTGATACGAGCCACCGTGAAATGTCGATAAAATTATCCATGCACTAGATAATACAATATTACGTCGGTCAAAGAATATCATTATTGTTATTGTTATTAATGTCAACAAACAACATCATGACACTGCCGTTAGTGAGCGAGTATAAGCTTTCGAGCAATGGCACCAACGAACAAAATGCTTTTAGGCTTAACTTAGTTTACTTTTTTAAATCACCGAGCATTTGTGGCGATGGATGGCTGCTGCGTCGAGAGTGGTGGCCAAAACTATGTGGAACACATTCACTTGAGATTGCTAAATTTAGTCCGAACAAGAATTTGAATATAGTAGATTGGATAGTAGCAGTAGGTAATGCTAAGAATCTTTTAATCCGTATAGCCGAGAGATCATTCAGTGATTCTGATTACTCTCAGCAGTGGTGGGCT